GACGCAAACGATAGTTTTGTGGCATGGAGATTGCATTAAATCATTGTTTGTAATTTTTTTTCAAGTAAGTTGTTGCTATGTTTTAGACACCATGTTGCTATGCACCGCAAAGGATTATTGGGAATTTCGAATTTTTTCAAGTGGACTCGGAACAACGTGCAGATTTCAACCTGAATTTCATCTGTTCGTACACGTTAGTCTATGAGCTCGCTACGCGAACGGCGCTTCGCGCCGCCTCGCTGCGCTCTCTATAAAAAACGTCAGTCAGCATTTGACTTAGAGATAAATTGTATTTGCTGACAAGGTCATTGTATCCAGCATAGATTTACGAAATGATGACTTTAAGGTTCGTTGATACTCTGATAAGAGGAATGGCAGTTAATGACATGGATGGCTATCATTTCTTTACAAATTTGTCAAGTTAAAGTATCTTTTTTTGTCAAATTTTCCCCCGGAAGCTATGCTACAATTGTTTGTATTTTATAAAACAAATACATTTCTTCTGGACAATCATAAGAGTGAAAGAAATATGTTATATGAGTGAGCAGAGGGTTTATGAACCTTAAGGGTACTTACCACAAACAAAAAATGGATGTGCGGGTTGATATATATTTTTTGACTGATTTTGTTTTATAATGACATAAATAACAAATCCCTGAAATATAAAGAAATCGTAGGTTTTCCTTGGTGCTTAGATTTAAGATTTTATTTTGCCTTCTATATAATTCCATATAAAATTTTGCACAATTTTTTAACTTTATGACAAAATCTTTAAAATTCTCCCACTCTACTTGGTAAACATTATTCAGGTTGTCAATATAAATGTAAATCTATGAGAAAGTATTCTTATTTCTGAAAAAAGTTTGTTTGTGTTATTTATCCTTAAACGAGTGCTGATATTCTTGCTCCCAACTTATTTGTCAATAACTTACCTCGTTGTTCATATGTAGAACATGTTCATTCTGAATGTTCTCAATCTGTGGTCGATATTGACCTTGTCAGCAAGTACAATCTTTTTGTTCAGTCGATTTCTGACTGAAGTCTTTCATACCCATTGTTATACTACTATTTACACACTGAAAGTCTCCGGATTTTCCCGCTTGTCCGATCATAACAAAGAGCGGGTACATGTATAATCGATCGACAGGGGAGTGAGGGGATGCTAACTTCTCTGTGGCCCCTGACCCATCTCCAATGTCCTAGAGTTCCTTCTTTGCTCTGCTCCCGACTTGTATTGTTTTAATATATTTTTTCAGCTTGAATACATTCCATGATTATCTCCATATTTCATTCTTAAATTTAGACGTCTCTGTATGAGTTAAAAATTCTCGAATGGGACGAATACAACACACCAACAATCAAGCACTTTTAAATTTAGAGTCCAGTAAACATACCAGTAATTATAATCAAGATCAAATAAATAAAAGATGTGTCATGTTTGTGAAATGATTGATTGATCTTTACTTCTTGGTTGTGGTCATTTACGTATTCAACTTCATGACTTATAGCTTGTAAAAGTTTAAATGATTTTTAAATTAGTTATCAACATTAAAACTTGATATTAAATGGAAAGCTACAAAAGTAACCTTGGCAACCGTTTTGTGCAAATGTTTTCGTTTTATTAAAAAGAAGGTGTTGCAGTTCTTTTGTTATTTTCCCTAAATGTGTAGCAGATTAAAAGAATAATTTTTATGTTGCAGAAACTCATATTAATTTTTTTCAAATGCAACAATATATAAAGCACAACGAGATACGGTATTTGAAAGCTGCGTATTGACTTTCAATTTGCCATTAAATGATGTGAAAATTAGTCTCACGGCAAAATATGTCAGATTTTCCGTTTTTTAAATAGGGAATCCCCATTGTTCTGAAAAAGTGCCTCCTTGAAACAGAATAATTTTGATATATACACAAAGAGGCAGGAATTTTCTTCAAAACTGCCATTTCCGATTTTTGTTTCAAAGAGGCACATTTTTGAAAAACGCAAAAATTGAATGAAAATTATTCTCCAAACAAAATGCAAAATGTGAACATTAAATAACACCCATTCTATCGTGTCAGTAATGGTCTAGAGGATATGCTGGTGGGCTTCCAAATAGTACTAAAAACAGAGAATGGGTTCGAATCCTGGAATGGATCATTTTTGCATATTTTATTTTTTTCTTATTTTTTCCCATATGTAATGGTAGTGTAATTATATATTTTGAAAGAGAGAGAGGGAATGTGGTTAATTGAGTAATAATTGAGAAATGCAGGATTGAATTCTCTTCCTCCTTTGACTTAAAACTAATGCTTTAAAAAATTTTAGTTTTGTCTTGGAAAGTAAAGTTATTGTATTGTTTAAATAATTTATTTTTTACATACTTTAGTTATTGCAATTTTGAATAATTTTGGTCTCTAAGTTAGTAGCCAAGATTTGATTTGAAACAAATGAAATGCCTTGGATGTAGCACCAACAGTGTGATTATGGGACGCAGTTTTATTTCATGAAAAACATTTCTGCACGATGTCTACAGTATATCTTTCAAAATACTGCTTTAGCTTTTGTGCTTTTTGTTGTTCCAACCTTTTTCGTGCAAAATGACGAGAGTGTTTTGCTGTGTCAAGCAGGAAACACCCGCCGTAAACATAGTCCTCTACGTAGCTGTAACTATATTTAGACATAACGAGGGTATTTAAATGTCATTCTCGATATATAGGGAATAATCGCGACTTTCTGCAACACTCTCTTTTAAAACAATCAATGTAAATTTCATTAGATATCATGTGTTCATTCAACCATAACCATTAAAATAGTAAACTGTCAAAAATGATTCCCACATAATTTTTCTCAGAAAAGAATATAATGTGTTTAATGGAATTTAGTTTTAGAAACGGATAAACCCACTCCTCCTTCCCACAGTGATTATTAGATCGCACACCTATAGGTGGTATATTGTGCCCTACATATAATTACTAATTCATCGCTGACAAAACGAAATTCCCAAAGGTTAATATCTTCCTTAGCTATTCCCTCTGTGTTTAGTACTTGTAATTGACCAGAACAACTTTCTTTAGACACAATACACCTCCGTGAGCTATTTTTATATCATTCTTATGTTAAATCGATGTCCATCTGGTCATATGTTTGCCAAGTAGCAATTGAAGACTGAACTGAAGCTGTAATGCATGGGTTGGACACCGTTAATTGCCCACAAATGTCCCCTAAATTCAGAGCCTGATGGACATCCCCAAAGATCAAAACCGTCAGAGAAACTTATATTTAAGAATTAACGATAATTAGGTCATAATGGAACGTATATCTTGGGAGGAGCGGGCTAATATAATAATGTTGGAGCATCAAGAATGTCCTGTACATGTCAATAACAAGAAAATGTTTTATTGGTGAGATTCATTTCATAAATGAATGATCGTGATGTGTTTTTAAATACACGTGGAATAAATGAGTTGTGCTTTGCATAGATCTGCCCTCCCTCCCCCCTCCTGCTTTGATAGAGAAAGATTTTATATGAAAGTGATCGAGATGTCCGTCCGTTCATCAGTTACGCTTTGGATGATGCATTTTGAGTTTCCCATAGCAAAACATGGACACGGCCTTTCTTTCTATAATATTGAAGGGTTACCCCATCTCTTATCCGCAACTCCACCCATACCACTGAATAAAATTTATAATGATACTTTCACAGATTTTTTTTTACATAAAGCTATTGTGCATCTCTTATTTTACTTTTTGATCTGACACTATTTCGGGTCTCCTAGTGCAAAACATATGGACTTTGCCATTATAATCAAATGGAAGGCGTAGGTATCATTTAGTGAGCTAAGCGCTCAAGAAAGTAATTCTTCAGACGTCTTTTGTCCACAAATTTGACAGATTTTACGTAGTTTATATATTCGTACTGGTACGTAATTAAACCAGAAGTCTCTGTCGAGACTGTAGCTCTACTGGTTTGTACTTATCAAAAACCAATTCCACTATTTTATGTATCTTTGTGTAGTCTACTTGTGTGCCAACTTATTTTGGAATCAAACTAAAACTGTAGAAGGAGTAGTGTTTTAAAGGAATTTCACAGATAATTCTATTTTTAGTAACCATGGTTACACCGTTCATCGAAATCAAAAACCGATGCACTATTCTATGTATCTTAGTGTAGTCTACTTGTGTGCCAAGTTATATTGAAATCAGACTAAAACTGTAGAATTTTCAAAGGAATTTCACAGAAAATTCTATTTTTAGTAACCATGGCAACACCGTTCATCGAAATCAAAAACCGATGCACTATTCTATGTATCTTAGTGTAGTCTACTTGTGTGCCAAGTTATATTGAAATCAGACCAAAACTGTAGAAGGAGTAGCGTTTTAAAGGAATTTCACAGAAAAAATCTATTTTTAGTAACAATGGCAACACCGTTCATTGAAATTAAAAACCGATGCACTATTCTCTGTATCTTAGTGTAGTCTACTTGTGTGCCAAGTTATACTGAAATCAGACCAAAACTGTAGAAGGAGTAGCATTTTAAAGGAATTTCATAGAAAATTCTATTTTTAGTTACCATGGCAACAACGTTCATCGAAATTAAAAACCGATGCACTATTCTCTTTATCTTAGTGTAATCTACTTGTGTGCCAAGTTATATTGAAATCAGACCAAAACTGTAGAAGGAGTAGCGTTTTAAAGGAATTTCACAGAAAATTCTATTTTTAGTAACCATGGCAACACCGATCATTGAAATTAAAAACCAATGTACTATTCTATGTATCTTTGTGTAGTCTACTTGTGTGCCAAGTTATATTGAAATCAGACCAAAACTGTAGGAGGAGTAGCGTTTTGAAAAATTGTTTATTTACAAAAATGGTCTTTTTGAATAAAAATCTGTGGGTTTCAAATTTTTCAAAGATTATTTTCCGCAAACCATTATAAAACCATTATAAATTATCGTCATCTATTTATGTACTTCAATAAAGTCAAATCTAGTTACGTAGAATTAAATGGAAAATATAAAGATAAAATTCTTTATTGAAAATACAAAATAGTCAAAAACATAATTATTATTTATATTTACAAAATCTCTTTCATTAAGTAATTGATGCTATCATATTATAAGGAAAAAAAGCTTCAATATTATATTCAAATGAATAAACATATAAAGAATTGTTTGAAAATATACAAATTTTAAAAGTTAACCAATAGATTCAATCCATAAATCTTAAAGTTACAAAACATACTTTGTTATATTAAGCAAATACTTGCAATATTTACCATTCTTTCATTTGAATAAAAAAATATTAGAAAGAAAACAATATAAAGATATTAAAAAGAAAACAATATATCGTCAGTTTAAATGCTTTTTAACATACTTTGCATGACTTGTGGCAGTAGCGCAACATATAAGCGGCGTTGGAATTGCAGTGGTTGCTTTTAGCCCAGAGTGTGCAGAGTGTATGCTGGTCTGTGCAAACTGAAACAAAAAGAATCAGTCAGCTTCTGTCTTAATTATTTGATGGTTTATAATTTTACTAGGGATGATAGCGAGTCTGAGAGTACTCGACTAGCACATAGTCATACCGACTATTGACTATTTTTTTTCTATTGATAAATATTCAATTATAAATTTCAATTCAAGTTTATAAATAAAGAATTTCTTATCAGCTTATCTTTTTGGTTTCATAGAATTTAACCTTGAAATTGTCTTATGAGGATCAAATTATTTTTTTTACCAAGAATGACTACATATAATCTGAGCAAGATTCGACGATTCTTAACATTTTGTCTTTTTTTTGACTATTACAGAGTGACAAACAAATGATTCGAGAAATCTTCCTTTTTACCTTTAGAAAAAATCAGTACATTTTTTTTAGTCTAGACTAATCTTTATATAAGGTAGACTTCGTACTGAACCATACATGTAAAGAGCATTACTAAATGTGTATACATACACTGTTTCAGTTTTTAGACTACATTTTCAGAAAAAAAAATATTTTCATAATGTGTTCCATTACTTTTGTTAATTTATCTTAAACTATTTTTTTCAAACGAAAGGGAAAAATGGCTATACCTTCCTTGCAGTTGTTACAAGACTTTCTACATTGTACCAGAGCGTACACTGGGTTTGTGTTACACACTCCAGTTTTAGCCCAGGAAGGACAACTCTCGTTGAAGTCCTCACATGCAGCTGAAAAATAAAGGCATTTCATGCGATCCATTCTTATGAGAATAATTGGTTTACTAATCACATCACAATTTGGTGTTTACAAGTGAATTCTAAATTTTGTTGGTAGTAATAAAATGAAAGTTTGCCGTCACTATTCCAAACCCCACCCCTAACCTCCATCCCCAACACGTACACAATCCCTCCTCTCTAGCGACAGCCTTACATTGTTTTGGTGTATTCTCAGTCGTTGTTGAAGCATCGTACGACTCGTCACGCTGTTCTTTATCATCTACTACTACAGGGTCCCTCGCCCTCTCATTCGTGTCCTCTCTGGTTCCTTCCTCGCACTTGTTGCAGGCTTTCTGGCACATCTTAGACATATAAGATGGGTTTATTTCACAGTGACCATATTTTGCCCACGTTGCACAATCTCTGTCGTTGTGCTTATTACTGCAGTTTGGATCTGAATCTTAAAGTAGTATTCAAAATCATCTCTAAATATTTGAAAAAAATAGGTTTATGGAGACGCTACACTTATTTTTTTTCACCAGTACAAAATCCTACGTGTTTGATCCAAAACAATTGCCAAACTGCTTAAAAAGCTTTAATTTTAAATCAAAAATTTCATCAAAATTTTTTATACTAATACTTCGACCTCTTTTGACTTTTGCTTTAAAATTTCATTCATTTATCGTACTGATGTTACATACTGTCATCTTCATCATCTTCTTCGTATTTTTGTCTTGGTCTTCTCGTCGTCGCCGCACCATCGTTCACATGAACTTCTATGTCATCTTCATGTGTCTGATCAAAGTCATTATTTCTTGTGTTCTCGTCATCGTTGTTGTTGGTGTCATGTGACCCATCAAGTTCTTCACAGCTGTTACATGATTCAGCGCAATTCTTTCTCATCCATGAAGGATTTTTAAAACATTCTCTCTCTTTTGCCCAATATTTACATTTTTTGTCGTCATACAAATTTTTACAGCCACCTAATCAGGAAAATGATATAATGACTTAAGGTTACTTTAATAATTCTTTAAATATTTGTAGAAATGCATCAGATTTATCGATAAAGTAATTTTACTTAAATGTCCTACGATATCTTGATTAATTCTGTTTTGGAGACATAATATTGAACTAGAATACTGTATAATGATAACAAAAGTAATTAACCATCTTTGCATCTGCCACAAGATTCTCTACAATTTGGAATCATCCATTTTGGATTTCTTCTGCATTCATCGCGTTTTGCCCAGCCTGCACACTCTTGTGAATTGTGTTTATCACGGCATCCAATTACGACTGAAAACAGAGATTTATAATAAACTGGAGGAATGAGCACGCAAATAAGAAAAAATTCCATTTATGAATTTATGTGTATTGAATTTTGATGTAGCCCTTTGTGGTTTGTAACGTAACGATGTATTTCATGTGGATTTACAAGGTTTTACCCAATTTTTTCTTTGAAAATCTCATTCAGGGTTGAAAGAGCTTCTAAAGAATACATTAAATTGAACAATTAAAAAAACTTGTAAAAACTCGTTTAAATTAAAAAAAGATATCTATGTAATCGTAAAACATATCTATCATAAAGTGTTAGTTTCCCATTCCTACATGTACTTGGAACCCATTATTAGCATTAATCCTAATGGATGTTAGAATTAATTTTTGTATATGCATGTATTTGTCCTGATATGTTGTTACTATTTTTAACTACCATCTTCGTCATCGTCCCTGTTTCTGGGTATGTTTTCGGTGCCATTATCATCAACATCATCATCATCATCTGTTTCATCTGCTGCCTCACACAACTGACATGCTTTTCTACAGTTCTTATGCATCCACGTTTTCTTTGTGATACACTCTCCCTTCATCGCCCACTTGTTACAACTTTTGTCTCCTTCAATGTTGACGCAATTCTTCGCTGTAAATTATATGATATACAACAAGAAAATAAAGCTAATAAATAATTCTTTGAAAATGATTGTTCATTTCATCTTTAAATATTCAGACTGAATTGGTGTTTGATACACCTCCTCGAAAACTAAACAGTTTTAGAATTTAACATCTTGGCATATCTTAAATTTTCCCAAAATATCCAATAAAAAGTATTATATTTATATGAAGTGATCTTGGTATCCTTCCTACTTTATGCCATATCATTTGTAGTGATTATTTGAGCTTACATGGCGTTTCCTTCGGCCCAGAGTTACATTTGCCGCAGGACTTCTTACAGAATCTACCCATCCAGTTGGCATTTGTAATACAATCACCGTTTTTGGCCCATTCCTGACATTTATCATTCTTGAAGTGATCAACACAGTCACCTTTGAAGAAAATTAACAAGATTAACATGAATAACTAATCTTATTAAAAATGAATAGGTATGGTAAATTATTGTTTGTGTTTAAAATGTTTAAATTAATATCTTACTCATAGCCCAATCCCCTGGAAATAAGTTAGCAAACAATCCAAACCATTGCCAGGACCATGCTGCCACGTGGTTTTCTGAAGAATTAAAATACTTTCCAAATTAAAAGAAAGGCATTTTGTAAACACTCAACCTGCTCCAATTGTTAATAGTTGATATTTACCTTAGCAATTCACAATGACCTCTCACAACTCAATATAAAATTCTTTCAAATTGAAGGATGTCTCTCAAACGGACGGGTTTTGGTCCTGATGAAGGATAAGGTTATAAAAAAATGATAAACTGTACACCTTTATATTTTAAATGGAATATATGGAGATTACGAACAGTATTCAAGCTCAAAAGCCCATAAAACAATACAAAATAGAAGCAGACCAAACACGGACCTCAAATCATCAGAGTGCCACGTAGGAATGAGCATCCCCTGCCGACCGGTCACACCCCCCGTGTGTTCCTTGTCATGATCGGGAAATAACAGAAAAATCCATTGTCGATTCAGTGTGTAAATAATGAACTAACAATTAATATGAAAAACGTCAGTCAGCATTTGACTCAATGATAAATTGTATCTGTTGACAAGGTCATTGTATCAAACCCAGAACTTAAGAAATGATGACTTTAAACGAGACTGCTGATATTCTTGTTTCATCAACTTGTTTGTCAATAATTTATCTCGTTTTAGAAATTGTACACACCTAGAGCATGTTCTTGCGTATCGAATTAACTGAGAAATATAAACTTTGTATGCAGGTATATTGCTGCATAAGTAAGGGAAGATGACGATAGAAAAGTTAAAGTCATCACGTTTATACAAAGCTTCGTTGTTAAATTACCATTAATGTCATTTTCAAGTAAAACATCCAAATATGAAACAGATGTGTCAGACTATGTGGTATCTTTTATTTCAAGCTCACCGGGATATATCTATCGACATAAGAATGGAAATAACCATGATTATTAATTGACAGTACGTCGTATATAATATATATATATATATATATATATATATATATATATATATATATATATATATATATATATATATATATAAAAATGTCGAGTTGAATGCCACAGCAAGAGTTTTCCTCCTTTCATGTATAATATTTGGGACAAATTCTGCTCATATGAATAGGAAATAGGTATGCCGATAACGGGGAGCAATTGGTACCCATGGAAACTCCAACAGATTGTTGGAAGACCTCTAAAAACTACAAAGATATTGACAATCAGACACTCCAGCATCTTTTAGATGGCAACTTCAGAGTACTTGTGCGTACAATTAGAATGTTTTTAACATGAAAACTTGGAATCAGTTTTGTTATCCTTTTCATGAACTTTGAGGGTTTATATTTTTATAGTCCAATGCTCTACAATGTTTTTGCCAGGTCCTGATTTCGTATGTCGTCAATCTCTAAGGTTAAATCTGATTTTTCAAATTTTCATCATATTTTCATACACGTTGACTACCTTTGTGTACTCTGGTTCAGATACTATAGGATAGTTTTAATAGGTTATTTTACAGTCTTTGTAACAATCGTTTCTGTACTTACCTCCGGTCAGCTTTCTCCTCTTCGTGACCACAGACTCGACACACCCTCTTACAGGAAATTTAATTTATATCTTCACTATTTTCAGTAACAATCGTTTTTGTATTTACCTCGAGCTTCCTCTTCTTCGAGCCCACAAACTCTCAACACGCCCTCTTACAGGACTTCCTGTTTGCATTTGCTCTATTTTTAGTAACAATCGTTTCTGTAATTACCCCCAGCTTCCTCCTCTTCGTGCCCACAGACTCGACACGCCCTCTTACAGGACACCTTCATAAAGTCCGGATTAATGTCACATTCGCCTTGAGTGGCCCACACATGGCACTGCCAGTCGTTATAGGTATTGATGCAGTCTGGTGAAATGAATAAATGACTAGTAACACTGATTCCTTCTTCTATTCAATTTTAGCAAAGTAACGAAATGATTTTTTAAATTAATACCATATTAAATCAGTTTATTTAGCGTTGGTTAAATGTTGCATTTGCCTACTCAAATGTATGCCAGTGATTTTTTTAGGAACATTTTTGACGTTAAGTAAAGTTACAAACTAGTAGCATGAATTGTTGCAGGTTTAGCAACCCGCTAATCACAGCTTTAAGCTAAGGTGTTTCTTATTTATATGACTTAGCTAGTGAGAAAAATGTAGATGTTATATATCCAATGCCTTGAAAAAGGTAAAGAAGTTTACCTTCAATCAACACTTTTATCTCTTTGATACGTAACGTTAGTTCATAGATATCGACCAATTCTTCCTCAGGATATTTTTTGAATTAACATCGAGAATTGATACATGTACTGATAAATCACTTTTACCTCAAACTATTTAGTATTATTTTTAGTTTGAACTATAGAATTTAAGAATTTAGTACTAGATTGATATATTCTCACCACTGGGTCTGTTCGTCTTTAGGGTTTCTCCGGGATTCGGTGCTGTACACTCATCCGATCCATCAGGACATATGCACTTACAGTTCTGGTCCACGAATCCTCCTCGAATACACTTGATGGTTTTAGGACAATGTGCTAAAAATAGTTTGGATAGTATCGAAAAATTTTACAAACGGAATAAAGGACGCGTTTTAATAGAGATTACAAGAAGACTTGTAGTTTCAGACACAAGAATACGTGCATAAGCAAACTTTAATGCTGATTTGATTATATCCTCTTGCCATTGCTGCTCATTTAATTTTATGTTTAAATACATGTAGTTTCAAAGAACTTAACAAAAAAGTTCAAGACTTCCAGCTTTTCAATTATTTTAACAAATATATACATTCTTCTTATTATATTACTCCTAGTATTTCGATTTCATGATTAATTGTCTCATATTTCCTTAATGTGTTAATATTTTATAGATAATAAAAAAATTTAGATTATTGTACCTGCGCACTCATACATTCGGTTGACAGCTTTAACGTCACTGAAGGCTAGCTCTTTTTTCCACACTTTGCCTATTATGTCGGTTGAGGTTTTATTCTTAGGGCGGATAGTCGTAGACCTCCCGTCTGAAGAGAAAGCCTGCAAGGACAAACATTTAGTAAATATCCACTGGTATATTTTCAAGAGACATTCAACATTGTATTCAACTTGATCAAAAAAGTATTTATCCGGTGCCATTAAACTATATGTTTACATTCCCATGCCTACCGTTGTTCCATAATGCATAACAGACGTCAGTTCGTAGTTGACGTCATATTGGTTAACTTCTCTGGTCCTGTATTTCTGGAACCACACGCGCATGCTTGGAGCAACATTTGCAAATATGATGTCTATGTAGTCATCTCGGTTTGGAAGTTGGTGTTCGTGAACAAGACCAATGGCGTGGCCAATTTCGTGCAGGTAAAGTCCTTTCTTGATTAGTCGAATGAAATGAAATATACATAATGTATAAAGGTACATCGGTGATTCCTAAAGTGATTTATGATTATAGCTTGAAATTTTCTAGGAATATGAATATTCAGAGTGTCGTTTCATTTCACTTCGATATGTACATGTATTTGTCGAAAATCATACTCCAAATGCTGAAATATATAAGTTTATACATACATTTCAAACAAACTTTTGAACCTAACATACTTTTTGAATGTACATTTTAAGAATATATATATATTTACTGAACAATGGCGCAGAAAAAAGATATATCTGCAATTTTTTTTAAGTTTCACATTATTGATTTGTATTTTCTTTTCTAACATATACATGTTGTTGCTTCCTTTTGCATAAAATATAGTATTTTGTTAACTTTAAAAGCGTTGACTGACGTTTTCACATTTAACATTTAACATTTAACGTTTTAAGAATCTGAGATCAATTCCCACTGATTTCTCCAAAATGTTTTTTTTAACCGTTGACATGCTTTCACCAGAACCCTCTTATTTCACTTAATGTTTTTAACACTGAAGGCATGGTTCAAGGCATTTTGAAAATATATAATGAACATGTTCTATTTCTTACCCATCGGCATCCATTGATATCTAGATTTAGGATTTGTTCTCCTCCAACCATTCCAAGTTGTGAATTGCATCTAGATATAAGAGGTTTTCAATGATGATTTATTATAATAAACAATTTCTAGCAATCTCAATCTAGCACTTCCATTATCCTTTATTATTTTCATGTACGCACGTATAATAATTATAAAGGGCCTACCCGTGCCCATTCTGAATGCGAACAAAATTGACATCGCTGCTCGTTTTTTCCCGGAATTTGATGCAGGTATACTTTTCCCATTCTCTCATTGCTGTTTTCATGATGTACAATTCCTTTGTTGCTTTTTAAATAAAAATGTAAGAAAAAATATATTTTTACGTACAAAGATCTTCGAGAATTATTCAAACACTGAAACCACAAATGTCTAATGAACATCCAACATCCAAAACTGTGAATATGTTAATATAATGAATTGACGCCATTCGGAATTTTAATAGATGTATTTTTTTTCTGATTTTCACTTTAATTTCAAGTACAAAAACACCCAATAAACTAATGATATATTAATTAGTAGCTTACTAAAGTGTCCATTTGCAAAAGTATAAGGCATGACCCCATCTGTCCATCGTAGGTCTGTTCTCCTCACTGCTTTCCTTTTCTTTCGCTTTTGTTCAAAATATGGCATCATCTCTAAAGAACCACTAGAGTAAAAAAATAGAAAGTATAACACAACATCTTTTCCTTAATGATCTACAATTAACATTCTGACCAACTAGAGAAAAAAATAAGCTATTTGGTTTCTGGAGCAACGGACATAATTTGCATACAATGTCAATAACAATGATTTGATTACATTAAATATGATAAACATAAAGATAAAATCAAATTAATTTCTACAGAAATGCCCTTGTCACTTAAGTTTTTATCTATTTATTTAAAAAAACGAATAAATGATTATAAGATTTTTGTACTATTCTGGTGCACTGTAGAAGAGTTGATACTGTATATAAAGTATATAAAATAGATAAATGATTATTAGATTTTTGTACTATTCTGGAGCACTGTAGAAGAGTTGATACTGTTCCTCCGTTAGGTTCATATCCAGTTCTGCCAAAATATTTCCTCCAGGGGTGATCATCTTCTGAGCAGCTACTGTAAAAGGAATAAATAAAATGAATACTTTTTCCAGTCATATCACTTGCAAGTACGTAATGTTAATTCAGTGTGCTATTGGTGTGCAATGAAACATTCTTATACATGTACATAATTTTCTAGGTTATGGGGTTCTCAAAGTGATTAAAGTTTCCTTCGACTTTTTTTGTAATTTTTCTGGACATTTTATCAACAGCTAATTCCACAATTGTGCAACCTAAGTATAATTCTGCACTAATATTCCTGGTAACAGTCTTCAGTGTCAACATTTTGCCATACTTACGGTCGATCCCTCCTAGTGCCTGGGTGATGATTTCGTCTATGGTTAGATCAGTGTATTACTTACGGTCAATCCCCCCTAGAGCCTGTGTGATGATTTCGTCTATGGTCAGATCTGAGTATTACTTACGGTCGATCCCTCCTAGAGTATGAGTGATGATTTCGTCTATGGTTAGATCTGTGTATTACTTACCGTCGATCCCTCCTACAGTATGAGTGATGATTTCGTCTATGGTCAGATCAATGTATTACTTACGGTCGATCCCCCCTAGAGCCTGTGTGATGATTTCGTCTATGGTTAGGTCAGTGTATTGCTCCACACCCTCTATGTTCTCGGGGGAGATATCTAGCTTCTTCAGCTCCTCCAACATTTGACCAGAGCACCCAGCGGCCAACGCCAACGTCTACAATAAGTCTTGCATCTATATATTGACATACATTACTTTTCATTATGTTGGTAGTTTCACGTTTTATCTCTGGGGATGATTTCTTCAATCACATAATTATACAAAGTAGACGTTGAATATGTGTGAAGAAGAAATGAAACTATTTAGAAATTGTTATTCCTTTTTTAATTTGAATATTTCCCAAATTATCTTAATAGCAAATCAGAAAAATGAAGATGGGGTTCCACCATCTTAGGAACAATGTCATCATTTAAATACTGTAGACAATTTAATGTACGCGTTCACAAATTTTCCGAAATTTGTCGCGTACTTAATATAAATGTAAGGCATAAAGTGACAGTCTGTTTAATTTTCTACACGCGGATTCCAAAATTCTTTTTATGACCCCGTGGAAAAAAGTTCGTTTACAGTATCAGAAAATGTAATGGAACGTGCTGCTCGTTTTTCCGACTTCTTTTAGAAGGAAATCAACGAAGCAGTATATGTTGTAATTCAGTTCACGAAAGGTGGGTAATACATGTAGTTTACTTAAAGGAGATTGAATAGCATAGATCTGCATTAAGTCACCTTTTAAAACCCTCAGTAATCATTCAGTTAACTGAAAGGTGCAGTTTTAACTGTGATCTTGCAAAAGTAAAACTAATGCCATTTCATTTTGTTCAGCAGCATGGCGATGGAGAATGATATGGAGATAACAACAGTATTCAATATCAAAGTCCATAAAACAATACAAATTATGAGCAGAGCAAACACAGACCTCCGAAACATTAGAGGTGGGATCAGGTGCCATGGAAGAGTGAGCATCCCTTGCTGACCGGTCACACCAGCCGTGTGCTCCTTGATAGGGAAATAACAAAAAATCTGTTGTCAATTCAGTGTATGAATAATGGACTAACAATTAGTATGAAAAACGTCAGTCAGCATTTGTTTCAATGATAAATTGCATTTGCTGACAAGGTCATTGTATCGACCATAGAATTTACAAAATGCTGACTTTAAACAAGGCTGTTGACATTTTTGTTTCATCAACTTGCTTGTTAATAATTTACTTCGTTTTAGAAATTGTTCATACGTAGAGCATGCTCTTGCGTATCGAATCAACTGAGATATATACACTCCGTATGTAGGTGATGAAGGTATATTGCTATATAGGTAAAGGAAGTTGACGATAGAAAAGTCATCAGCACGTTTATCATATAGCTTGGTTGTTAGATTACCATAAGCGTCCCTTTCAAGTAAAATATCCAAGTATGAAACAGATGTGTCAGACTGTGGTAACTTTAATCTTAAGCTCGCCAGGATACTAGTATATCGTATCGACGTAGTAATGGAAATGACCATTGTTAATTTACAATACGTCGTCCATATATATCTAAATGTCGAGTTGAAGGCCACAGCAAGTGTTTTCTTCTTTTCACGCATTAGATTTTGCACAAATTCTGCTTCATATGAATATAAAATAGGTCTGCTAATAACTGAGCGCAATTGGTACCCACGGAAATTCCAATAGATTGTTGGAATACCTGGTCTCCAAAAACCACATAGATATTGTCAATCAGAAACTCAAGCCTCTCTTTGATGTCAACTTCAGAGTACTTGTGTGTGCTATCAGAATGTGTTTTAATAATAATTTTGCAAATTGACTTCTCTGGAATGAGTTCAAGAAGGAAGTGTGCAATACTTTTAATTTCTATATGTGAATTTGTACACTTCTTTTGAAACAATTTTTGATGAAAAAAATCTGGAATTTTTGTTTTGTAATTTTTGTACATTTTTCTTGGAATAATGCAAAGATCATCAAAATTTGATATCTTTTCGAAATTCCTGGTAACGCATGCTGATTTTTGTCTAAGAACATGTGATGGCATTATAAGTTTAAATTTAGAATATCTTGAAAAATTTTCAGTAGGTAAGGTACCTTGCGTATGTCCTTAACAAAATAATTTTGCAAATGACTAATGGCCAGGTAAGTGAATTACGAGTTCCATTTTTATTGAAAAAAGCAGCTGTCAATGATATAAAAAAAGCCTGGACTTTAATTTATCGTGGGGTATGGTTGTGTATAAAGTTGAAAAGTCGTAAGTTTTTAAGCTGTTGATTTTGGTAAAATCTTGAGTATCCACATCTGATTCACACCACTCCTTGAATATATTGTAGCACAGTACTCTTAAAGTTTTTCCTTCACTGCTGTCAATATCTTAGTGAGGAGTAACGAAAGAGGCTTGGTAGAACATTTACTGGAACCCACGATATATCTTTGTTTGTAAGGATTTTATGAAGTTTCGGAATCCAATACATGTAGGGTAGTTCAAATTCATTTTGGCTCTGCGGAATATTAAAAAAATTTAAAACTGACAAGATTTTGAAGAATTTCTTCCTTAGAAAGGGAAGTATGAGTATAAGTAAGATTACCACTTGTAGATTTAAAACCAAGTTCTTCTAAAATACAATTTATATAATGAGCCTTACAAACGAAGACAATGTTGTTGCCTGCTTTGTTTATAGGAATCGAATTATGACCATCGGCGTATTGCATTGGGAGTTACTTGGAGAATTCAAACATACTTTTGATATTGTTAAAACCCATCAATGCATTTACAGATGCATTCATTTATAATTTTCTCTTGCATTCAATCTCTGGCTGGGGGTGGGATGGGGTGGGGGTCATGAAACTTATACAGCTCACTTTTGATATCAATCTCGCTTTCACTGAAGGAATAACTAGTGGAAAGTGAGACTGAGATCAAAAGTGAGCTCGTCTAAGTTTTATGACCCCCAGGCCTTAGGTTTTCGTTGGCCGAGTTTGCTCTGGATCTGCTTCCGATTCCGATTCGTATTATTTCAATGGACTTTTACTCTTTAATACTGTTTGTTATCTCCATGTTTCCTTCTGCAGTATTTTCATATAAGTCGACTTAAATTCTATAAAACTGATCAAAGTTTGCAACCTTTTTCCATGGTTTTTTTGCAAAATAAATTTGTTGAAAGACGCTCCAAAATTTCGTTCAGACAGTAATTTCAATTTAAATCAGAAGAGAGTGAACACATTGAACAGTCATCAACACCTTCATGTAAGACTAAATTTAGATTAACTTTCCAAAAACTCTAATAGGGAAGGAATTTATTGTACATCTGCAGTAGTGAATTGCCTATGGGCAGAATTAGTACGTAATAAATTATATAATTGTTGTTAATTAATTATTATAATAATACATCATTATAGCACACAGAGAATAACTATTTTTCTCTAAGATGTATCATCAGGCAGTGGTTTTCATCAAGAAGGACTCATTTCCTGTTGTAGATTTTCCTCTTGGATGTTAATTCATTTGTTCTAGATACCTAAGTGCATCATTAATTGCAAGTATAGTCTAAAATATGTATGCCAATGACACAGACATGTATTCTATTTCGTTGGCATATTTATAGATTTGATTTTTGGGACCACAAAAGTGTCCTCATTTTACATGTAGCTTTAACTATGCCTTTGAAAAAAAAAAATTGGTTATATTTGTTAACTAATACTGATAAGATTTTTTTTTTATCAAATAGAAAATGCTACCATAGGGAACATTCACATCTGTGGTTATGATGTTCCAAACTGCACAATGCTGTCACATACCTGGGGTATTTATACAATGGATGTTAATAGATTAATACATGCATAAGTATCACGCTTTCTATCTTTAAACAGTATACATGTTCAATATTTTGTGCAAATTAGCAAATAAAACCTGTTTATGCATTAAAAATATTTAAGAATTCAATGGCTGAGAAAAAATAACAAAATGTTTAAAAAGTCCAGTAGCTTGGATGCTTCAGAAAACCGAAATGTATGGGAGAGAGGAAAGCACGTGCAAAAAAAGTTTTACAATTAGGAAGCATCTACATTATCTTTGAAAGATACTACATATCAATACGTATTGTAACACACTTACCGTTAAAACCAGCAGCTGAAACATTGCTGTTATATCACTGGTATATCGACATGGACGTTGTATTCGATGACTGTGGAAGGAAGAGAGATTGGTTTTTGTATAGTTGTCGACAGGACGACAATGACGGAAAACGCTTCAAACAAAAGCACTTCTTCAAAGTGCTCTCGGTACTTTTTTTCTTTAATTGGGTTATGTTTTCATTTTGAAAGTGAACCGTATGTGGTTGACACGATGGTTGACTTGAAGTGGATAAAGTAATGACCATGTGCATTTTCTGAGTCGGTTAATTTTAGATCATCTTTTGATTACTCCATCGAAGGGATTGTTCTCAAGGAAACCGATTCCTGAATGCTTCACATCTAAAACATCAAAGCTGGGGAAGAGCTGAAAAAGAAACACTTTAAATCCAGAATATGTGTGATTCATATATTTAAATAAAGTACATTTATTTTAGAAAGGAAGAGCATTTAAAAAAAGTATCGTCCTTTTTTTACACTCTGTACATCTGCCAATGAGAAGTAAACTTCGGATCCCCTGTGAACAGGTCACACCCGCCGTCCGTAGACAATGCGGTAAAAATAAATTATCAGATATCATTTCGTTTTAATTTTTTCAACATTAAAACGTCGATTCAGTATGAATATCATTGCCTTATCACATGTATCAATCTACATGAAAAATGTCAGTGAATATTCGACTTGTATATTGTATATTTGCAACAAAATGTTTGATATCTTGTAACATCAACTTTTATAAGTAGAAAGTTTTTATACTCAAAACATGCTCTGGTAAATAGGATCAATTGGACAACATTCATAAAGACTATTATATTCAAATTTTGGTATATTTCTACATGTATGCACATGAGAGAAGATGGGTGAAAATCTAAAATGTCAAAAATTACGCATCTGCATCGACCAGAACCTTTGAATGAGGGATATGGAGATAACGAACATTATTCAATATCAAAGTCCATAAAACAATACAAAATAGGAGCAGAGCAAACACGGACCTCTAATACATCAGAGATGGGATCAGGTACCATGGAGGAGTGAGCATCCCTTGCTGACCGGTCACACCCGCCGTATGCTCCTTGTCATGATCGGGAAATAACGGAAAAAATCCGTCTTCAATTCAGTGTATAAATAATGGACTAACAATTAGTATGAAAAACGTCAGTCAGCATTTGACTTAATGATAAATTGTATTTGCTGACAAGGTCGTTGTATCGACCATAGAACTTGCGAAATGATGACTTTAAACGAGACTGCTGATATTCTTGTTTCATCAACTTGCTTGTCAATAATCTACCTCGTTTTAGAAATTGTTCATACGTAGAGCATGCTCTTGCGTTTCGAATCAATTGAGATATATACACTCTGTATGCAGGTGATGAAAGTATATTGCTGCATAAGTAAGGAAGATGACGATAGAAAAGTTAAAGTCATCACGTTCATTACGCATCTTGGTTGTTAAATTACCATTAATGTCATTTTCAAGTAAAACATCCAAATATGAAACAGATGTGTCAGACTCTGTGGTATCTTTTATCTCAAGCTCTCCAGGATATATCGTATCAATGTAGGAATGGAAATTATCATTGTTAATACGTCGTCGATATATCTAAATGTCGAGTTGAAGGCCACAGCAAGTGTTTTCTTCTTTTCACGCATAGGATTTTGCACAAATTCTGCTTCATATGAATACAAAATAGGTCTGCCAATAACGGAGCCAATTGGTACCCATGGAAATTCCAATAGATTGTTGGAAGACCTGGCCTGGGGCCATAAAACTTAGACAATCTCACTTTTGATCTCAGTCTCACTTTTTCCAAAGGAACGTATAGCGGAAAATTGAGACTGATATCAAAAGTGAGCTCGCCTAAGTTTTATGACCCCCCAGGCCTGGTATCCAAAAACCACATAGATATTGTCAATCAGAAACTCAAGCGTCTTTTTGATATCAACTTCAGAGTACTTGTGTGCACAATCAGAATGTGTTTTAACAAAATAATATTTTGCAAATGACCAATGGCCAGGTAAGTAAATTTACGAGTTCCATTTTAATTGTAAAAGCAGCTGTCAATGATATCAAAAAGGCTGGACTTTATTTTATCGTGGGGAATGGTTGTGTATAAAGTTGAAAAATCGTTTTTAAGTTTTTAAGCTGTTGATTTTGGTAAAATCTTGTGATTTCAAATTGTCCAAAAGTTCTTTGGAATTTTTGAGTATCCACAACTGATTCAGTCACCTTCTTGAATATATTTATGCACAGTACTAGTACTCTTGCAGCTTTTCCTTCACTTCTGTCAATATTTTAGTGAGGAGTAACGAAACAGGCTTGGTTCAACATTTACTAGAACCCGCAATGTATCTTTGTTTGTAAGGATTTTATGAAGTTTCGGAATCCAATATATATAGGGTAGTTCAAATACATTTTGGCTCTGTGGAATATTAAAAATATTCAAAACTGACATATACGTCTCCATATGAGTGAAAAATTCTCGAGAGGGACGTTAAACAATATACGAGGGGTGTTAGAAAAGTTCGCGGACAAGTTCTATTGTGATCGCGCTATTTCCATGAAACCGGTCAAACTTTTCAGATATAATCTTGACATTTTTTCCAATAAATATACAAGAATTTGGTGCTCTCCGCTGATTATTGAAAAATATACGGCATTTTTATTTTGATAAATCTTGCTTCACGGAGCATGCTGCATTGTGGCACGTTTACAATACAAAGACTCTTTATTAAAATTAGAAATTGCACAATTGTAGTGCCAAGAGATTTGTGATATTTTACCTGCCGCTAAAGTATGCAGGAAACGTCACTGGGAAAAATTTTGAACTAAATTGGAGGGTATATGGCTGTTTTATAGCTGTTTATAAATGATCAACGCGTAAGAACACAGCCAAAAATCGGAACGTCATTGAGCGTCATGGAGCAGTGCACTACGTAAAAATTATGTGTGCAGACAGGAAAATGTCTAAAAAGAGACTAAAATGTTTAAGATGCTGCTGGGAATATCCTACACATACAAAGAACAAGTTTTCAAGTGGTTGTAGCTTCATAAGAATGGAAGGAGAAACATTTTGAATGATTAACTACATCGATACTTCAATACCCCTCTATCGCATGGACGTTGCGTTGCGCCTATGTTTTGCATAGTTTCCATACCTGGTCGATTGAATGCACAGCCTTTTTATTTTTTATTTTTTAAGATGTCAATAATATTCAAAACTGATAAAAAGACATAGTTGAAAAGTAACATGTCTTGATACAGATATTCAATTTTAAAGTAGAAAAAATATGAGAAAAATATAAAGAAATTAAAGATTCATAGAACTGCGACAAAGCTTAAAGGGTTGAAATCTGGTTGTCACGTCGCCTTACGTCAAGTGATTGCTCCGTGAATATCATAACCCCATAGTAAAAATTGTTGTAAAATTTTAAGATTTTATTATATTGACCTGATTTTTTACATACCAATAAACAAAATGTTGGAATTCATTCAGTCACAGGTCATACTTCACAGTAAACAATAGATTTTCTGTAATTCAATGTGTCCGCAAACTTTTCTAACAACCCTCGTACAAACAAAACTGACATATGATTTTGAAGAATTTCTTCCTTAGAAAGGGAAGTATGAGTATAAGTAGTATTACCACTAGTAGAATTAAATCCAAGTTCTTCTAAAATACAATTCATATACTGAGCCTTGCAAACGAAGACAATGTTGTGACCTGCTTTGGGTAGATCTATGTCGAAGCCACTACCATCTTTCTGTGATCGAAGACGTCTTGCTTGATCTAGCAAAGGATCCCTTTTTCCTGATAAGCGATTTTTTAAAACATAGTTTTTAGCATGTGGAGCTCGACGAGCAATCCAGTTACATCTACCTTACAACCAGGTTTGGAGCGAATTACATTGTAAAAAATTAATAGTTTACATTACCATTTCATCAAGGAAAAAGTGTAAGTTACAACTTTTGAAAATCCGGACGGTTTCGTTGGCGCGGCCTACCCTTTGACATCTCTTCAGTGTCTGAGATTTTTTAGTATCACTTGGAACTAGCCATATATAACTTTCGCTGATGATATATTAATCTATGGAGAAGGAGATAGTGATGCAGAAGCCATATGCGATCATATGTAAAAACCTGTCAAATGTTCTTAAATCTTTGTCGTGAGCAAACATTTTAAACTGTGGTTAAAGGAAATGCCATATATTGGACACGCCCTTACACCCAATAGACTCAAACCTGTCCACCGTAGCTAGAGTACAGACTATTACTGAATTTTGCAAACCCAAAAGATGTGCAGAGATTCGTAGGACTTGTGAACCATCTAGAGCTGTCCAAGGTTATGGACAACTTTCAAGAGTGATCGATATGTGTGAACCAATTCGTTCGTTTGTGCACAGAGATGTTGTTTGGCAATGGACTCATGAACAGAAAGAAGCGCTTCGTAACTTTAAAGAAACACCATGTTCTATACTTCCATTCAAAAGAAGAAACCACACTTCAGTGTGACGCATCAAGCACAGGACTTGGCACATCTCTCTTACAGCAGGAACAACTACTAGTAGTTGCTTATGAAAGTAGAGCCTTGACGCCTTTGCACTAAAAGATTATGCTCAAATGGAGAGAGAGCTTTTTGGCTTTTGTATTCGGAATGGAACGATTCAACCAATATACATACTGCCTTACGGTATTCGTGGAAATCGACTACAAACCCCTTGAAATATTATTCGCAAACATACTACACAATTAATTTGTTTCAGCTCCAAAACGTCTACAACCTTTGTTTTACGACTCCAGAAATATGAGATTGATATCACAGGCAAGACATGTATATACTATGTCATGCTGACATGAATGAAGACTCCAATTTTCTGATATAGACCCTACGTGTATAAACACCGCTAACCTCAACACGGGAAATGACGACCGCCTGCTTACCCTTCCCTCCTAGCAGAAAGCGCCATTCATCTATTAAACGAAAAGATGAATGTTGGTAGATGTTAATACGGGAGTGATATATGGTAGGAATTTTAAAGGAGTTACTGTACCTAGTTCCTCGTACTGTTGCTAGAGGGGGTTGGTATGATATTGAGAAAGCTAAGTTGGTTAACTATTTTATACCTGAGTGGTAAATTACTTCAGTCCAAATACGCTTCTGTTCTAGGGTGTTCCATTTGAGTTCCTGCATCATAGATGTTCCGCTTTCAGTTTTTTTAAGGATTGTATGGTTTGTTGTTAACGAATCTTGCTGCATGCATTGCGTTGTATTTGTTCTATCTGTTTCTGTTGTGTTTTCTGTAGTGGATTCCATATTGGTGTTGATGTTAAATTTCATTTGTCATGTGTCGATCTCCAGTTTCCCTTTGGTGTGCAGTGTCGAAGGTTACGCTTCAAGAATCCCAATTCACTATACACTTGCAGATGTCGTTTATGTGTATTACACTTGCAGATGTCGTTTATGTGTAGGTCCTTCGGATGAGACCGTATAAACCGAGGTCATGTGTCGCAGTAGTCCGACATATCTGACGTTTACCATGCTTTTTAACGACTTTGATATTTTACGTGCCGGGAAAACGTCAGAACCGGCGCCATTACGAAAACTGGAAATTTCGCCGTCTTCAAAATGTTCAACCGGTGTTGATTCTAAATACTTGCGAACCGAACTAAATGGCGAAATCAGAATTTATCAGAAGCACAATGCCTATAGTACTCACCAATATTGAATTAATGAAAAGAAAATATCACTCCACATTTCGTTACAGGACTTGCAAGATTTTAAAATGCATGAAATGTTAACAAATCTCATCAGTCTGATAAAATGTTTTCAACGGATTGTATATTTTATAAATGAACCTTAGAAACGATATTGATAAGTACTCAAAGATTGTATTATTCATAACTTGTGACTTTGAAATTTAATTCGGTTTGCAAGTATCTAAAATCAACTCAAGAATGCCACCTCACGTAGGAGGCGGCGATTTCCCAGTTTTCGTAATGGCGCCGGACCTGACGTTTTCCTGGTACGTAAAATATCAAAATCGTTAAAAAGCCTGGAAAATATATATATATATTGTCCATTTCTAGCATTTTTTTTCTCACTGCTCAATGGCTCTGAGTGCCGAGTACAGGACAAAATGTGTAGCTCTCCACCGACAAGTGGTGGCGCCTCCATATGAGTGAAAAATTCTCGAGAGGGACGTTAAACAACATAAAATCAATCTTCTATGTGTAAGTTGTACTTCAAGTTGTCATGCACTGAGGTCAACTACGAGGTATGGATGGTGATCTACTATCTCAAGCGACTCCCCCTTCATGGTGTAGCTGAATGTGTTCTTTCTAGTTGATGTTCTAAACTGCATGATGGCACACTTCTTGATGTTAAATTTCATTTGTCATGTGTCGCTCCAGTTTACCTATGTATTCAGATCCCTCTGTAGTTGGTTGTTCATGGTCTTGAACGGGTCTATACTCTATAGATGACACAGTCGTCTGCGAATAATTGGATGATTGACGTAATGTTATCTGAAATGTCGTTATTAAAGATGAGAAACATTGTTGGCCCGAGCAATTGTGGGACCCCGCGATGTTACGGATGTTGTGATAGATGTTGCGTTATCTACTACTACCTGTTGATGTCGGTCCTTCAGAACCATCTTTGCGTTGTTCCGTGGATGCCATAGTATTGTAATTTCTTTGAAAGTCTTAGATGATGTGGTACTTTATCGAATGCCTGTAGACAAGGGACCTGATCTAAGCATGCTAAGACACGGCCCCAACCCAAAGCCACTGTACATGTACAAATGACAACTATACGGGCTTAACCATTATAAAAAAGACTGACTTAACTAAAAGACCACCTGCCGACCGTTACCCGACCCTTTCGACGAAAAATGCTAAATAAGGGAATATATGTATACATGATCATATGCCAATCTTATTACTCCGGAATTATCTAGCATTAACGTCATGGGGTTTATCTCTTAGTCTGCAAATCTGATATCCGGTATCAATCGAGGAAAGTCGAGAAAATCGCGGTCGGGGACAAACAAGCAAGTTTAATTTTTTTTCAGCTGATAACATGGCAGTTGCTGTCTGAAATGTGAGTTTTGCAGATAATCTAGGCCTATGTAAAGACAACTTGTAAAGAAAAGGACAGATTTAATTATGAACGTCAAATTATTGGTTGCATTGTCAACAATATTTTAATTTTTTTTATTTTTAATTTATATATTCAATGTACTTTACAATGTAGTATTTTCGGTTTACATTTTATCAGAGGGAGAAAAATATATTCTTCTTTGCAAAGTGTCGTTATGAGGATTAAAAATGTTAATAATATACTCAATAAATAGCTGCGCAGGATTTTGGCCATTACCTGATTACAATCAATAATAATCTGCTTTATTTTTAAATGAAGAACTGAATAAACTTCAATGACATTTCTAAACAATAATAGATAGGTAACTCAATGGATGAAGTTCAATGTATTGTATATGAAACACACTTAGATCTGATTTTGTTGGTAAGGCCTAGAAAAAAAATATGTTTGTTTCCGCTTTCAGGCTGAAAAAATATAGGGTAAGTAGGTAGGCAATTTTTTTTTTTTTGAAAAATTTTTTTTGCTTCTTTAATCAAAACGTGTGTAGAAATAACATTAATGACAAAAAGAAATTGTGTTTTCAAGCATTTCTGTAAGTAGAAAGGTGACCCAAACTTCTTTCTGTCTTGAAAAGCTAGCAAAGTTGGAGACAATAATTCCCTGGGTGAAATCTTGCACATCATGGGACAAAAGCATTGAAAAAATATTTAGGGTTGGCACTATATATTAGGGTCGGTCGGGAAAGCGGAAACAAACATTTTTTTTCTAGGCCTAATAAATAAATTGCCATGTCAAAAAAGGACTAAGATTGAAGGCCCAAGGATATCATAACGAAAAAGGAGAAAATGTATGGGTGGAAGGGGAATTATCCCATGTTCATCACTAGTCAGGTGATCTATAGATAACCGCTATCCAACCTGTTATCCATGGCTCAAATTTTACATGTACATTCCTCCCTCCTTGATTTGTCCTTGTGGCTTGACTGCCAGGGAATCAAACCCAGGACCCCTGCATTTCTACATGTTGTAATCATGTGGGTGTTCTAACCACTGAGCTATTCAGGCCAATAGGCCTATACCCAAGGCCCAAACTTTTCCATTTGTTGAGGTGGAGTGTTTATAAAGTTTCTTTCATGTCATATTGTTTACATGTACATGTATGTACATGTACTATGTTATATAGATTTAACAAATGTGGATGAATACATAAACTGAAATCAAATCAACTTAGTCCTAAAACTACTGTAATGCACTGGATGATATTTTACAGTGTTGCTTAGAAACAGGATAAAATATACAATAAACACAATTATCATCAATTCTTGTCATGGTGTAAAGTGTGACATTTGATGACATTTTGTCATCTTTGCTATCAAAAGAGACTGTAAATGAAACCTGGATATGTATTCAAGATAAGGTATGCTATGAACCATCACAATTACTGACTGCTTAATCTCACCGTTTCCAATTGTCTAAGCTCCAGTATTACCTACTACAAAAGTGTAAATATGATTAGAATGAGTTTGAAACAATTTACATGTACAGTACTGTCTCAGTATTACGGGTGCCATTAATCAGGTTGAAATTGTCTTTTTTGATAGGCATCACACCTTGTTTATCATTGTGAGCTACCTCATTCTTTAAGTTGTCTTTGTGTGTTGACAGACACCACACCCTGTCATGTTCATCACCGTGGGCTACCTCATTCTTGCCGCCTATCAATGGTACAGAGACAGACTACGCCACTCCATGATCCACCGATGCATTTCAGCCTCTCTTCGAGTTGGAAGTGTTGTGGTTCAAAAAGTGAGCACATCAAATCAAAGTAAGACATTTTTTTAAAAAACATTTGTGCGCATTTTCAGTTTTCTTTATTGGCAAGGAAATAGACTATGCAGTTTCCCAATTTTTTGGGTTACAAATGTACTGTGAGTTATATTGTTGAATTTTGTCATTTTTCAGACAATGTGAAGCTGTCCCTCAGCTGTTCCAAGCTTGTAGAAAAGGTGGATAATTTGCTTGTTACAGAGGTTTACAATGATGAGGATATCTCTGTCTCACAAACTGTACCCAAGGTAAGGATACTGTTTCTACAAAGACCATAAACTTTTAAGTCATCAAGATTTTGAATATCTTAGCTTGATCTTTATTTATCAAGTTTATTTAAAGTTGCAAGTTTGTGAAATATTGAAACTACAGGCATATAATTATGATGAATTTCTTGTTATAATTTCAAAAAATGTGGTCTTGAGACTAAGTTAATGTACATGTACCTTGTACTGGCTGCAGATTATTTAATATAGTTTATACAATATTTGGCAGAAATTGATTTTAACAAGAATTTTGTAAATTTAATTTAGCCCAATTCTTTCCTGTTCCTATTCACTCATGTTCATTAACATCATTTAAAATGATCAAATTTTAGGTTTGCGTAAACTTGGAGAAATGGACAGCGTACTATCAAGATATCAGTCACGCTCAGCTGACCGCTCGAGATAAGGAGGTCACGGTTCTCCTGGAGTCTATCCGTCCGGCTGATCTTGAGACGTTTGCTGAGGAACAGGTGCATGTGTCCTCAAAAAAGTCATTCCATGTAAGTTGCTTATCAAGCATGCTGTGCTATGTTGATCAGGGTTGTATGCTGAATGCATGGCTTAACCCCTTCCCCGCAGTCACGCATTTTAACGCAAATACCATTTCCTATTTCTAACGCAAAATCACGCATATACCGTTTCCCCACAATCACGCATTTTCACGCACTTTAAAAAGTTCATTTAATCTTCAATTTATTGCCAAATTCCATCTATTTTATACTTGCACTCATAAAATATTATTTTATTATTGAAATATTGCGTCATAATATTATTTACGCTAAACGTTAGAGATACTTGTACCGCGCTATAAAGTGCTTGCAAGGAAAAGGTAACGTTATATTTCTATGACGAGTACATTAAGTGTATGTTGCGTCACAGATCAGTAAGTTGTAAAGAGTTAAATGCACACAAATAATATTTCGAATCATAGACAATTACCCAGAGAGTGCAAATTTAATGAAAGTAAGTAATATTTTTTACCAAAAGAATCATCTAGCGGTATCTAGAGGCATATTTTAACCAATCAAAATCACAATATCAGGAAAATACTGTAAAATCACATATCTTTGTGGGGTCAGAATTTATGGTTTGAGGAAAATCTCTTGTTTTGTGGGGATTTGATTTCGTGGATCAAGAATAAATGAGTACTTATGTATGTAACATTTTACATTTCGTGGTGGACATGAATTCATGGGTCTTGTCATACCTCGAAAACAACGAAAATTAAACCCCCACGAAAATTTGTGATTTCACAGTATTACCTTTTTCTATAACATCAATTTCATCAATAGAATGCTAAAATATGTTCACATTACTGATATTTTCTTTTGAATGTGGGTCCAGATTCTTGCCTAATAGAACTGAAAAGAGTCGTCATTCTTTGTTATAATAATGATTGATTGGGCAGAAATACGCATTCAGATTCCAAGATTGATTTTGTCTTTTGGATGGATGCATCTGAATTGACAAAGAGAGACAACTGCTGGAAATTTTCATATTGTTAACATTGAATGATAAGACAACTACATCGAGTCCCCAGAGTTTTATCTTTCTTACTTCACTTACTATAGAAAATCTAGCTTCAGATCCCTGTCTGCAAGTTTGGAGTGATTTTAAATCAAGGTCTAGCCAGGGTAATGCAAACGTTCACGAAAGTCTGGCATTCTTTTATAACGGACTCATCATGCTCTACATACGAGGATTGATCCAAAAGTAATGTCATAGTGTCCATATCTTTTATATTTGGCGTTGTATTATCAAATACAATATACCAAAAGATGCACAAATATAAATCTAATTAACATTGAAATTTTGATTTAATGATGTTTATTTGACTTTATTTTATAGGTATTTAAAACATAGAGCATAGGGGTGTCGCCGCGTCACAACGGAACGTCACATTTTGAAGTGTATTTTTTCTTAGAATGAAAAAGACAAACACATTGAAAAGATTCTAAAAAAGCACATAATCTCCCAAGTTTTTAAGACACAATTCTCGTCATTTTCTAGTCTTTAAGTGAAAATTAAATGACAGCATTGATATTTGTGATCATAAACATTGTTGTTTTACTTTGTTGAATTGAATAAAGGGATTGTCGAAATGGGGAAAAAAGGCTCGACGAGTTGTAATGCATTTTTGCTTCAAAATATGGGAATCATCACAAGTGACAGCTACGTTAATCAATCAGACTCACAGAATTAAGAATGTTAATAAGAGACATCTTAATAGATGGTTTCAGCAATTTTGGGCGGGTGATTGGTCACAATGATTAGCAGAGAACAAGAAGACCGAAAGATAGGAGATCGGACGGAAATGTTCAGTGGTTTCTGACGTTGTCAAAAAAGACAGACGTATAGAGTGACATGTGAATTTTTAAGTTAGTCTTATGCTACTGTTCAAAAAATGTTGACAGAGGGCTTAATTATGAAAAGAGTAAGTGTATAATGGTACCAAGAATTCTTAAAGAAAGTGGAATTGGTGAAAGTGTTTGCAAATCACAAATATTTTTAATGAAACGAAGGGGAAATGCTTAAAAGTATGACCGCGTGTGTATCCATCATATGAAGTTATATTTAGGTGCGGCGACTACCATAAACACGCACTGTTTAAAATCCGATATTTTGAAAAGTATACATCATATTCCTTTGAATTTTTCAGGTCTGATTTGAAATAAATAAAGCTTTCATCATGTATAATTTTGTTGCTTTACGTCAATTTATATCAATTTTATCAAAGTTGTGACATTACTTTTGGATCAACCCTCGTATCTTAAATTTCCTTAATAATTATTAAGTTTAGCATATTCTGATCTGCTTCATTGCATTTATTGATGTATTTTCCTCTGTGATGCACTTGCTCTTTGGTCAGTTTTCTATGATATAGGATTTGTGATCTTTTGATTTGATTTTTTTATTTATAGATACTTGATCATGGTCATCCGCTGGCTTGGAACACAGGTCCACCATTTGGGATTGTGATGCAGTGTTCTGAACTGGACTTTCTAGCTCTCTGTTTATCCTTCATGGATAATTGTATTATTATGGAAGAAGATCTACAAGTGAATAAAATTATCAGTAAGTATTATTAACAATAAATAGTCAAAATTTATAAAATTCTTATGCTAAAGTTGTCTTAATATTTTGGTGCAAGAAGAAAGAGAGTCAGAGACTGTTATTTTAAGAATGTATTTAAAAATCTATTAAATGTATATTACTGTAATGTCAGGCACGTAGCATCGTTTTTGAAAGGGGGGGGCTAGCCAGACAAAATTTTTTTTACTTACCTGGAAAAGTTGACAAGCAAAGGAAAAAAAAAACAACAAACCATTGCCCAAACTCAAAAATCCTATTTCGTAGGAGGTGGGGGTGGTAGAAGCCAACTTTTTTCAGATGCTGACTTCTTTCAGTCCCATTTTTTTGCATTGAATACTGCATTTCCCTTATATTTACTTTACCATAGTATTAACTGGGGGGGGGGCAACCTGTATTTCAGTGAACATTTTCCCCCCCCCCCCCCCCCCCCCCCCCCCGTTGCTTTGTGCCTGAATGTACATGTACATGCAGTTTTATGTACCCATATAAAATAGAATCATTATGACATGAATATCTTTCAAGTTGACATAAGAAAGAAATGTTGATGTTGAAGACAAAGTGGTGGTATGAAGCTAGAGTTATCTTTCTTTCCTTGCTCTATTTTAGGTGTTCAAACATCAGGGAAGGCGGCCAGCTTGGTTAATCTTGACCTCAGAGAGATTCAGGCCTTGGAGGACACGAGTAGCCAGTGGTCAAATGAGTCGTTAGCCGACACGGCCAGTCTGGTCAATCATGACGTGCTAGAGAGCTCCAGCCAAGACTGGGAAGGGTTGGAGGCAGAGAATGGGATAGACATGGACAACTCAGAAGATATGGACATTGTGATGGCAGAAAGTGGGTCAGGGGAAGCCATGTTTGACCCAGATAATCTCAATGTAGTCCCACCCACAGCCTTGAAGTCTTCTAAACCCCCTAACATCGTGGTGTATTGTGGGAAGAAGGATGCCAGTAGGAAATTTCAGAATCTGAAGCAGGTTTTAGAGCAGTGTGTGCATAATGACTGTTATGTTATTTATCATCTGAAGCATGAGGAGGTTCACACAGTGCCTTGGGCCGAAAACACGGCTCTGCTGGTACTGACGGAGGAGAACTTGTACGACCAAAATGACGACATCATTTGTCGCTATTTTGAAAGGGGCGGCAGGCTGATCAGCTTTGGTAGTAACGTGGATGCGAATTTTGTACCTAGAAGAGAACTGCACAAGGGAACAGGGATAAGGAATGTGAGCTATGGAAAAATTCAAAACGTGCCTTTGTTATGTGGGCGGTACTCGTACATGATTGACAGGACTAGAACGGACATAACTGTGGATGTATTGGCTACCGATGACAAAGAGCAGACATTAGCTGTGGAGGTTACACAGAATGTTCCAGAACAAATTCCTGGCAAAGCTATACTGTCTCAGGTAATACCCATACCATAATACTGAGCAGGGTTTTCTTATGACCTAGAATCCTAGCCAAAAGAGGCACAAGCCACCCCCCCCCCCAATGTCTCCCACGCACCCCTAGGAAATTTGCTAATTCTTCCCCAAAATTAACTAAACTTTCCAGTTAAAATCCTTCCTAAAAGTGGCTAAAAAGTAGCTTTTAAAATACAGGAATCGCTTGTACAAAATAAAGCAGAGCAAGTAGAGATTTTAATGAGATATTGATTGAATAGCAGATTGATATTGTGATATTGTTAATTATCATTATATAAGAACAAGAAGAGCTCTATAATACCTTTTAATACTACTTTACTGCCTGATATAAAGCAAATGGGAACAATTCATAGTCTTCTTTTATGAAGTAATTTGAGATTACTCAAGTTACATGTAGTTTTAGAGCTATTGGAGAATTATACATTTATATCTCCAAGGTGTAAAAATAATGTGACAGATATTTTAGACTAACGCCTACACTAAGCATGGCTAAGAATTAATAACTCTCAGTTCAATTCTCATTTGTACAATATTAGAGTTAGAATTAGGATAGATAATAAGTGAGGCTTGAATGTTGTCCAAAAGATCTAATAAACTTTTCAATCTTGGGGGAGGGGAAAACCCCCTGGAAAAATAAATCTTTTATCGTCATGTAGTTTGGATTTTATTAAGTAAATTCAATGAAAAAATTAATACTCTTTAGATTGCATGCTCTTTTGAAATATGGTTTAAGGGCACATAAACATGATAATCAAACTAGAGAAAATAACAGCCAGAACAAGGACAAATTCAATATAGAATTTGTTTTAATGAATAAGAGTATCATTATGCCAAGGTATGAGTTTTACCTGTTGAAATTTATTCCCATGATCAACACAGTTTAGTTAAGGTGTCCAATGGAAATATCAACAATATCTATTTTGTGATAAAAAAAAAGACACTTTTAAACTGGGCGGTGATTCTTTTGACTACTTTACTTATACATGTATCACAGTATCAGATTCAGACAAATGTAATTATGGTTAATTTCTATTGAAGAGTTTAGTTTATAAATATTTTCATTTCCCATCATGCCCATTGTAGTTTGTAAAACTGCATGTGCTGCAACCCTAAAAGTATGTATAGATTATACTACACAAGTCTGTTAAGGCTAGGTATGGGTGTGTCTATGCAAATGAGCTCATAAAAATGCATAAGATGTATGTTTTATACTCAGAGAAAGTTCAAAATTATTTTTTTATTCATATAAAATAAATAATGTTAAGAAGAATGTTCTAAAAATTAATAAAATTGCTGCACAAATCCTATGCACTTTCTCAATTGATAAAAAACTTACACTGGACTGTGAATTTTTACCCTCAAAAGCTTATAAAGGCTGATCAAGATATCTCGTGGAAAGTGTCAAAATGGACATAATTTTTTAATTTATGATCTTTGAAGATTTTACCTCAAAATCAATAGGGATATTCCTTCGGCCATGGAGAGTTATTGCATAAAATTTCATTGCAAAAGCTCAAAAGCTTCTTGAGACATGGCGTGGAAACAAAGCCCTGCGCACAGACAGAACTACAGATGGATAGATGAACAGACGGACAGACAGACCAAAATTAATATCCCTACTTTCAGCGGGGGACTAAATTCACTTTAAGATATCTATATGAACTTGATAAAGAATAAAGTATATTGCATATTTGCTTCCGTTAATAATTGGTAAGGGATATTTAAATACTCTAGATGATATCATAAAAAATTCAAATTCTCAATTTCGTAATTATCATCAATAAATTATCTGTCAGTGAAAAACAAGGTAAATAAACTAGTATTCATTGACCTTTGATCTTGGTGTTTGTAAATCTGATTTTTAAAAAAAATCTGAATCAAATAAAAAGCTTAATTTTTGGAAAATTAGATCAAATGTTGAATTTTTATATTAATTGACTGAATAGATCTACATATATTTGTTAGGAGTGCATGACAAGTGTGGGTTTGGAAACATCTTTTTTATAATTTCGAAATGCTCTCATTTCTCTGAAAAATATAGATTAGGAAATCTAGTAAATCTGATTATCAATCATGCTTGAACTTGATTATTTTATCCTTGAACTTTTCAATAACTGGCATTTATTGAAGAAATAAAAACCACAAAGAATAATAAAATTGGTGCCCCAGATTTATCAATTTCCTTTTTTACTTTTTTTTTATAAATTTAATTTTTACAGTTATAAGAACTGCTTTCACAATTAACACAGGATTAACCCATGTTTAATTCATACAATATTTTTTTTGATTTACATTTTATTAAATCGTAAAAGGAAATTTAAAATAATTAAGAGGCAGTGGTTTGCAGTTGTGCCATTGAAGAGCAAAGTATATACATTAATTTTCAAAAAATCAATTTAAAATAAAAATTTCTATCTTCAAAAGATCTTTGGAAACAAAAAAAAAAATTTTATTCCAAAAGTATAATTTTTTGATAAAAGTTATCAAATGACAAATGCATTCAATTTTTCAGTGCTATTTTTCCATTAAATGATGTATAAAGATGTGATAGAGAAAACATTGTATAAATATATATTTTAGCATACAATTTATCTGTCTTTGGCATGGTAAAAGTATATATAATCCTGTATTTTGTTAGTGTGCTTGCGAAAATTTAACTTTTTATACAGTCATATAATAGTATTCCTATATACATAGAGCACCATCATTCGTGAAAATTTTGTCTTAGTATAATCAAAAGAAATAATTATGCCATGTTTCATGTATATATTTTAGCAATGTTTTGGCATGGTAAAAGTATATAATCAATTTGTTAGACATTGCCTTAAATTTTCTCATATTTTTTACTGACATCCAATGTTAAAATTATAAATTATGAGGTTTCTAAAATTTTATGCAAAAGGCATAGATTTTCATGTCTAAGGAGAAAATTTTATGCAATTATATTTACAAATTTTATCAATGCCTTAGCCTATAGCTAACTTAATCTCCAGATAACATCTTAAACATTCAGTACCAATACCAAAATTAAATTTTCTAAAATTTTAACGAAGGGATATAGTAAAACATACAAGTTTTTCAATGCTTATTATATAGGTGTATACATTTATTCGTGAGAGTCGTGATTAACAATTTTAACAAAGTACAATCGTAGGAGGTAAACATGTACTGCTTGCTCTAACAAGGATTGTTATGGGACCCCCATGTCATGATTCCTTTGTAGGTGTTGCTAGATCAGGATCCGACAGATGTAGCCCTGACCCAGGACTCGTTTAACCAGTTGAAAAAGTCAAATCCTGCCCGGTTTGAAATTCTAACCCTCATGTTAACAGGAATGGGAATCCATTGTGAACATGTGACCCAACCTGACCTTTCACCTTGTTTTCTACTGGCTAATGACCAAGTAAGTAGAACAAAAGTGCAATAGACATTTCTAAATTTCTTTTAAATCATGAACTTGTCTTCAACTTCGGGTTAATTATGTAACATGTGTTTTCCAGAAGAAAATCTGTTTGAAGTTGAAAGCCCGGTTACTATGTCAATTTTTCAAGACAGTTGAAGGTTTTTTGTTTCTCTTTAAATTTGACAGATGCCATGTTTTTTCTCTACATTCTATGGGTGTAACTGTTCATTTTATTCATTTAATTAAAAGTTTGATTGAAATGTGATATTTCATTTTTTGGGGATTTGCTTCTTTTATGTACTTTCTTTCAAATGTCAAGTGTGAAATTATGAATTTATTTTTAAAAAAATGAACTTCAAGATTTAATGAAGCCAGGTGCATAATATGTACTACTGTAACTTTGAAAGTTAGTCACCCCATCCCCACAAAAAAGTACAGAAATTGTGAAATTCAGAACTAAATACATGGAAAGGCACTCTCTACATTTTGCATGATACAAATTTTATTCTTAACTAGGGAAGGCAATAGATTGCAGAATTGCTAATCAGTTAACCACAAAACGTTCCGACTGACTAACCAGTTAGTCGTATCAAGATATACATATTGACATCTTATTTTCATATACACAAAAAGGCTAAAACCCCAGTCACATTTCCAAAAACGACCAACGGCCGATGGGTTTTGAAGCAAAAATTTCTTCGGGTGACAGAATCGGCCGTTGTCTTGGCCGATTTTGACCTATTTTTTTGTCGGCCGACCAATTTTGTGTCCATCGGTCCAAGTTATAATTTTTCATGCGTCGGTGGCCGATTTCTTCAAGTGCAGTTATCCGTCGACCAACCTTCGATCATTGTCCGACCATCGGCTGTCAGTTTATTAAGTCGGTCGTCCGTCGTTGGACAATAAGGGTGTTGATTTTCATAAATCAAATTTTATTCTCAAGCTCGATGATCGTGCGAATTGGCCAACTTGTGAATATTTAACCTATTAAGGATACATAGCACAAACAAAATTTTGATGCATGGATTGACATAAATTTTTTGAACGGAGATAACATAAATAATTAATCCGTAAGATATAAAGAAATCTTAGTATTCTTTGATGCTTAAGTATGCACCATTTGTCGTTTTTATGCAATTCCATACAAATTTTACACGCATTTTCAACATTGAGTCACAATTTTATAAGATTCTGCCACTTTGCCTTGCAAACATTACTCACGTCACCTATCTGAATATATATCTATGAAAAAATATAGCTGATTTCTAAAGAAAAAAGATTTTTTGTGTTATTTATCCAAGTCATCGGTGTCCCTAGGAAATAATGTGACTGCTCCGTGTCGCTCGATACTGTGTCGGCCGATTCTGTTCTTTCAGCCGACAAGACCAGAAAAACTTAGTCGCCCGACCATCGGCTTAAATGTGACCTAGGCATAAAAAGACATTAGAAGTTACATTCTGTTTATTATTTTGATTGGGGAATTTTATGTACATAAGAGTATATTTTATTTCAGTTTCAATAGACAAGAAAAAATATGAAAACCATGAACCTTGCTTAAGAAATCAGACAGGGATAATTTTCCAATGCAGATGTTAAAGAATTTGCATTGTCACCATAATCAGAACTAGTCTATGTCCGAACTTTCACTTTATTTGCAATTTACAAAATATATATAGACATACTATAATTGAAAGTGCTTAAAGCAATATGAGCTGCACCTTTGGTGTCAAAATTTTTTGTTGCAAAATTGTAAGTACATGTAACTATTTCAATGACAGCAAAAATAACGTTAATAAACTTCTGTCTTTCATATTTGCGATAGAAGAACTATTTATAAGCTTCGATTGAATCAAAATAACATTATTGTCGTCCTGTACAATAATGATTTCTTATATAAAACTGTATATTGAATTGTATACATAGAAGTCTTTCATCTGCTTTATTTTGGTCTTATTGATCACAAAGGTTAAAGTTACATAAAACTATTTTGACAGCAAAATAATTTTTTTTAAAATGCAGCTCATATTGCTTTAACAGGGATGTTTTTTAATATCATAAAAAAAACCACAGGACTATCTGGGTAACGGCATAATGTTATAAAAACAGTAATTAACACTTCACAAATTGACCGATTACCCAGCCATCTCAATCTGGAGAGCTTAATTACATCCAAATATTTTTATTATAAGATGTGTAAAAACACTAAATAAAATCTATGCAGCGCATTCCTCTCTCTAAAATAAAAAGGGATTTTAAGGAAACTGCTCTCAATTTTACATATATTTTACTTTTTCCGACTAACTGATTAGGGATTTTCTAACCGATTAGCATCATTTGGACCGATTAATCGATTAACCGGTTACAAATTGCCATCCCTATTCTTAACAGTGTGTTCCAGTTTTGCACACATTTGGTAATTAGTATAGAACAACAGGTATGAAGTGTGTTTTGATAGCAATTATAGTCTGATTTCTGGTTTGGATTTACCTGTGAATACCTGATTTAGATTAATGTATTCTTAAGAGGTTTAATACAATTTTAATAAGCATTTTATTGAAATTCTATATATATTTTTTGAAAAATATTTGATTTTATTAAAATTTGTTTAATATTATTTATTATTAAGTCCAATTTCATAAAAAAAAGAATAGTATTACGTACTTTTAAATCTTGATAAAATTCTACTGAACTAAAGATATAACATGTAATAAAGAAAATAGTGAATAAAAATTAATTTGAAAATAATGCACAAACCAAGAACATGAAGAAGATGTTATAATAAGATCACCAGATAATCAAATACATTAACTTTGTATTTATTCTCTTGTTTTTTCACTACAAGTTCACCTTTCACATACTTTTCACTAAGCTTAGTATGGTTAGACTATAGCAATCTCACCTGGTCAAATTCCTGTTTTTCACAGATATTTTAATTACCTGTAATTCAAATGTGTGCAAAAAGGGAACAAACCTTCTTAACCCATTTCATAGCTTAATATTTGTATTAATTGTTGGAGGTAAATGCAAACTCACATTTTTAAACTGGTTGATAAGACATAATTTTGTGGGTAACTTGTATTGAATAGAAGAACTGGGCCAATTTCATCCAAACTTGCCATGAAGTATCCTAAGGTAAAGGGATTTAAAGTTTATTCAAATGTAGGGCCACATCTTACAAGGGGAGATAATTAAGAATACCTGAAAAATTAATGGCAATCTTTAGAAATCTTCTTTTTAAGAACCAGTAGGTAAACAAATATGAACTTATGTGGAATCATGCATCCTGAAGTTCATGTAGATGAAGTGTAAAGTTCATTTTATTTTGTTCAAATCACGACCCCTTGGGCTAAGGTCACCAGAGTATACAATGGATGATCAGAATTTCACATACTTGTAGGAAAATATTCGAGGGTTGTCCGTAATGTTCGTGGACAAGCTCAAATTTAAATAAAAATGGTGTCATTGATATTTATTATTAGTATATTTAAAGTCCTTTATTGAATGTGAATTACGGAATGTAAAATTATATCCAATTTTTAATATATATTACAATTATGGCTTCATTATTAGACTTGGGATGATGACCCGGAGCACTGCAAAATTTCAATTAAAAAATTATTTATCACTTTATAAATTTCATTTGTATTTTGTAAAATTACACGGAAATTCGGATTGTTTATACATTATGAGGTTGGCAAAGCTTGCAAAATTTGAACGTTCAGAGTTTAGAAATGACTGAGAAATGGAAGTTAGAATCTATTGAGACAGGATTAGCATTGTTCGAAAAAGGGACATTTTTGGAAAAGGAGGAGCAGAGAGTAGTGATAAAATTCTGCATAGACATCGGAAAAACACCAACAGAGACCCATAAATACTGTAAACAATCGGGAAAATACAGTAAAGGAAGCCGTTCTTTAGAATTTAAGTGGAATATAAAATTTTTGGACGGTAGGAACAGCTAACAGGATGACATGCATTAACCCCCTTCCCCGCAGTCACACATTTTAACGCATATACCGTTTCCTATTTTTAACGCAAAATCATATACCATTTCCCCGCAATCACGCATTTTCACGCACTTTAAAGAGTTCATTTAATCTTCAATTTAATTCCAATTTCCTTCTATTTTATACTTGCTAAAATCTCATAAAATAAAAAAAAATATTTTCTTATTAAAATATTACATCATAATGGTATTTACGCTAAACTTTAGAGAAACTTGTACATTAAAGCTTGTATAATGGCTTGCGGGGAAATGGTAACGTCGTATTTCAATGACGTGAACATGAAGTGTATGTTGCAAATCAGTTTGGTAAGTTGTAAAGAGTTAAGGAAGACCATCATTCCAAGATTGCAGTGCTATAAAAAATGAATTTCATAACGTGACTTTGCTGTATTTCCGTAAATAAAGTCGTTTTATGATGACAAAGGTTTGATGATTTGCAGGATCTCATTCAGGAAGTGTTGAATATTTTTTTACATATGAAATCTGAAGAGTTTATACACATTTTTGATGACTGCTTAAAGTGATATAAGAAATGTATTGAGTTAAACGGTGACTGTGTTGAGGAAAGTTTCATGTATTATTATGGGTAAGCTTTTGACGTAGGGTAACTTCAAGGATTATTGTTTTAGTGCTCCGGGTATGAGTGTGTGTCTTTTTTTTATCTGATAATTAAAATTATAGCTATTTGTGCTTTGTTTTTGTTTAAAATTTGCATATGTATAAAAGGAAACATTAATTTAATGAAAAATAATAGTTTCATATATTTTATCAATGTTTGTCAGTAACTATCAATGTTGTCCACGCACTTTACAGACAACCCTCGTACATAGGAAAAATCTTTCAGAATTTTTTTTTCTCAAAAACAGCAAATCCATGATTTGTTGTATTTATACGGAAGCATTCTCAGATAGGCATTATCAGATAGTGTAGAATCAAATTTGTTAAATCATACCCCCAAAAGGGGGGAGGAAGGGGGATCTTCCCATAGTACAGCTAAGCCATGATTGACATATTTATTTGCATTGTAAAATCAAGGTTCTTAAAATCATTTACCCTGGGTGAAGGGCGGGGCCTCATGGGGCATTCAAAAAGTTTTACATGGGAAAAAATAGGAAAAATCTTTGAAAATCTTATTCAGAAAAGCAAATCCACTACAAGTACTAGTTATCATATGTTTGTTTGGAAGCATCCTGTCAGACAGGTTTAGTGTAAATTTAAAGTTTGTTCAAATCATATGACTCCCAGGAGTTAATTAGAGATGGCCACAACTGGGGATCAAAGTTAAATTGCAAAGAAATATAAAGAATATATCAATATATTTTTCTTCACAATAACAGTAAGACCATGGTTATAGTCATATTAATTCAGAAGCATGCATCATCAGGAACTATAGATTCAAGTGTGTTCAAATCATACCCTGGGGGTAGGGTATTTATAAAATAAAATACACAATAAAAGATCGATCATATTGGAAAAATTCTTGGAAAATCTACTTATTAATAGGCCATGATCTAGTCAAAGAAAAATGGAAGAAATTCTCAGGTAGTGTAGATCCAAATTTGTTCACCACCTCCCTGCGTTTGACCTCTTATATAATCATACTTTTAAGTACTTAACTGATTTCTGCTTTTTCCCAGCCAAATTGCTCAGGTGAGCGATGTAGCTCATAGGCCTCTTGTTCTATATAACAGTCTTATTAGAATACCTTATGCAGGAAGTCTTAGACACCTATAAATATTTCAGGTCATTCATACATATTGTATTTCAAGTGTCAGATACATCCTGGGCTGGCAGGATGGGTGTTTTCCATATTTGTATTAATATTGGAGCTCAGTAAATGGTGAAAAATAATTCATTCACCTTGTGTGGTATGGTCTTTCAGGTTCCAGTTTTAAGATGGGTTTCAAACACCAAAAGCCACACTTGTTAACTAGACAAAAGTTCTACTCAGGGCATACTACAGTTTTTTTTCAATAGAGTTCAATCTCCTTCGAAGTTATAGCACATAGATCTTCACCTAGTTTTGAAACAATAAACCTGTCCTAAAACTGGAATTGGGAAACTAAACTTTGTAAGAAAAGAGACAGAGTTTGTATGATATCCAAATCCTGTATCATGTGAAAAGAATCTAATTTTTTGCGTTTTATTTCTAAGAATTATTATTTCTTGAGAATTCGTGTGATTTTCTTTTTTTCTGATTTATTCTTTTGTTTTTGTTGTATTTATTAAGAAAGGTCTCCATTTTTTCTGTCTATTAATTGGCTAAATAAGAACATATTATAATCAGGTTATAAATATCATTTTATATATATGATTAATTACACCTGTTAAATGCAAATAAGTTCCTTTTCACCTAATTTTCTTATTACAAATATTTGGCAATTCACATATTGTTTGAAAATACAAATACCTTTGAAAACATCCATAAATTGAGTTTTTTCTGAGAAGGAAACATTTATGATGGCAGAATATTTAACTTAAATTCTAGCTCTATTTTTACTGGTCCTTTTCAGGTGTGTTCTTTGTGACAAGACCTTTCTTAAGGTAGTACCAAATTTGACCTCCTGACCTTTACCTTTGAGTTTGACCCTCTTTTACTAAAAATTCTAAACTTTAACCTTGCTATGGCCAAAACTTTTGAGCAATTGGTGCTTGGGTTTTAATTCATACTTTCATACAACCTGATTTAAAAGTGCTTTAAGATAAAGCATCAGTGTGAATGGGTATTAGGTTTTAATGGCCTAGCTGGTAGCTCAGTGGTAGAGTGCACCCACACGTTTAGCTGAAGGTCCTTGGTTCAAGATCAATTCTGACTGACATTTATATATTTGGCACCCATGGCCAACAACAAAACCCACAGGTGGTTTCAAAGAAGATTTCAGGATTAAAACCCTAAAGAAAAGGGAGAGGTTTAACAAAGGGGGATGGATATGTCAACCTGGTAGCTCAGTGGTAGAGCAAACTCAGGGTTAACAGGAGGTAACAGGTTCAAATCCCAGTCTGCCTGAAATTTTCTGGCACATCTTACAAGACTGTATGTATAAATGCAATATCTTGCAGGTAAACAAAGTTAGACTGTTGAACAAAATTGCGCAGCGACTTAAAAATGGTATACTGAAGTCGGCCAATGTCAGCCTGCAGTTTATTCCTAAATGGGTTCCCGAGGTCAAGGTCACATCGACCCAACTTCCTGTTGTCACTGACAAAATGGAGGAGTTGAAGTACTTCAATATAGATGAATACTGGGACAACTTGACAACAGTCAAGTTAGGAAATGTTGTTCTCTATACAGATGTTGTCCCTTCAACCATGTCATTGCTAGATGGGTATTTTTATTTTAGTAACTTTTTTTTTATTAGAAATGGAAGATCCTTGAGTTTGCTAAAAAAAATTAAAAAATCAAATTAATATTTAAAGAGCTTCCATTCTGCAACATTTTAGCTTTAAAATTTCAAAAAGGTACCTCTTCAAATTTGGAAAGGAAATCTTTTTTATAGAATGTGTTAAAAATTGTGAATCATGTTGGTGATTTGTCATTATTTTAGCTTCAGATTGGGATTGTTTCTTCATTTCTATTGAAGAATAAACTCTTGTACTTCGAAATTTTTTCAGCCTCCAGTTTTCTGAGCCGAAAACAGTTGGATTGGTAGCCATTGCTGGTAGACAAACTCAAGGACAAGGTAAACATAAATTCGTTACTTCTGTAGCTTCAGTCTCATTTTGTAAACACAGGGTAAACCAAATTTTGTTATCATTGATGTCAGAATGCATAAACATGTTAACACTAAAAATAATATTCAATTATTATTTGTTTAAACAAAGTTGTTTTGTTCCTTATAGTGTTTAGTGGGTGTCGCTTAGTGTAAATTTAATTTTCGAAGAAAAACCCTTGTAAACAGGATTGTTCGAATTGTTCTTCACACATTTTATGTCACATTACAAGAATAAAAAAAAAATACTCCTATTATAAGATAATTCCCAAAAGGGGAAAAAACAATAAACAGGAAAATTATTTTTTCTTTGTGGGCAAGCCACACAATTTTATAAACTTTCTGAATGAAAGAATTTCGGAGTTGCTCTTTAATTACTTTATTTTTACTCATTTCAATCTGATACCAAATTCCACCAAGTGAAAATATGCAAATGGAGGGGTTGGGTGGGGAGGAGGCAGTACTTAGCATTTTCTGGTTTTGTTATTGGAAGATTGATTTTGATGAGAATATGTGCCTCTTTATGTGTTTCATGGTCCCTGGGTAAGAAATTGGGTGTTAGAACAGAAGGCTGCATGTTGATTATATAATGAAAATGCTTTACACTATACATGTAATCCCAGGGTATTAAGCAGAAAAATTAAGTAAATGGTTATATGATGATCAAAGGTGTCTAATCCAAACTTGTGAATATAAATGCCACTAGGTAAGGGGTACAGGTGTTTAGGGGATACTCTAGTGAACATGCACTATTTCTTTGAAAATCTCTTGTCATAATCTTGGATAATTTTTAACAAAAACTCTGGTACAGTACAGGGCTCCATTGCTCTCGGACTAAGTGTGTGACTTCTAATAGGGGCTCTCGGATATGTCGAGTGAACAATCGAATATGGCTGACTAATTCCTATAAAGAATCGTGTTCAGCTTTGATTCCTATATCATGAATACAATCAGTTTACAGAGAATGCAGGATTAATGTGTCTCAACTATCCATACACAAGTACGTCAGCATTACCTAGTGACATAGTAGATTTACAGTGTAATTAAACACTACAAGTTCACATTGTGTTGATTCATGGTGAGAAATCGGCTCATTGTCGATTTAACAACAGATAGCTGTTATTATTCCACTGACAAGTCAAGCACCACTAAAGTGTGTCTGGCACCACTAATGTGAGACTACATGTAGCACCACTAAAGTGTGTCTGGCACCACTAATGTGAGACTACATGTAGCACCACTAAAGTGCGTCTTTCACATTATTAAGTATCTGTAAAGTCCTTACTTTTCTGTATAGAAGTATGTGTCAGTAGACTACATTTAATCTATAGAGGGCAAAAATCGAAGGTACCGGTATATTAAAGAGAAATTTATACTGTTAGGTAGGAAGCTAAATGCGAAAAGATTAGGTCTTGGGATCTCGGTACATGTAGTTAGGTGATTAAATTGTTAAAAAAGATGTAAAATATGTAATTGTATGTGTAACTCACAGGCCTTTGGATCGCTCAAATCTGACATAAAAAAAATTGGGGTATATAAAAAAGGTATATTTTTTGTGACACCTAGCACAAATTTTTTGCAAGTTGAATGAAACTGCGATCTATAGGCCTGTGGTGTTACTCTACTTAGATATTAATAAAAGGATAATCTGAGATTTTTACAGGCTAAAAATGTTATACTTGTCAATGTTGATGACATATTTTGTGTAACTTACATCATGTATATGTAGGGAGCAATTGCCTTGAAATCACCAAAGAACTATATGCGGTATTAACCAACATTTGCCCCCCAAAATCAAACTTTGATGGAGTAATATTTAATTAAGTCCTTAAACAGGGGAGTATATGCTGACTTCAAAGCACTGAATAATTTCATAAGTAATGACGTCATATGTACGTAATGACGTCACAAATATGACGTAAATTTCAGGTTTTTTATGAATTTTGCAGAAAAATGTACATATTTCGTCGATATTTTAAATAAAAGTCACCGAGCGCATGTGTGTTCAGGATAAATATTTTGATATAATGTGTAGAATGATAATATCAATGAAATATGTCAATATTGTTCCTGAACACACATGCGCTCTATAAATTTTAAAGCTTAAATTGTTGAAATTTTGTCCATTTTGTCCTCTTTCTGAAAAAGGATATAAAATTGGACTAGTTTGTGACGTCATAAAAACAGAAATTGTGAATACAATGCTCTGGAACTATAATATTTTCTGTTAACTTATATTTCTCGTACAATTTATTGAATTCAGCACATTTCAGGAAGTTTTCAAAATTTGACTTTTGTGGGGGCAAACATATGCAATATACCGCATATAGTTCTTTAGAAGGTATGGAGCTGTATGAAGGGATCCACAAATTTGTTCCCCTCTCAATGATATTGAAATTTTGAAATACAGAAAAGTAATTTATCTTCAACCACAAAATCAAATCCCCTTAAAGTAAAATTTTTTTGTAATCCAACCTTTCAAACCTTAGTGAATTTATGGATATTACGGCAGACACACTTCTAGTTATAACTCCAGGCATGAACAGTTTTGAAGACTTTAATATGCATTATGATTTGTGTATTAATGAGTTGTTACATGTATCACTATGATTTGCTGTGCAATCAATTCAAATATTCCTTCTTTAGGAAGAGGAGGTAACTCTTGGCTGAGCCCTGAAGGTTGTGCAATGTTTTCCTTGCATGTCAGGATTGAGGGAGAAAATTCATTAGCACAGGCAGTGTCATATCTCCAACATATCACATCCCTGGCTGTGGTAGAAAGTGTACGCACCCTTCCTGGATATCAGGTATTAACATATCTCCATGTAGCTGTTGACTGTTGTATAGAGTGTACGCACCATTCCTGGATACCAGGTATTAACATATCTACATGTAGCTGTTGACTGTTGTATAGAGTGTACGCACCATTCCTGGATCCCAGGTATTAACATCCCTAGCTGTGGTAGAGAGTGTATTCACCCTTCCTGGACATCAAGTTATAACAAACTACTGGGGTAGAGAGTTATGTACCCTTCCTGGATATTGGGTATTTTAATAACATCCCTAGCTCTGGTAGAAAGTGTATGCACCCTTCCTGGATATCAGGTATTAAACATGACTAGCAGTGGTAGAGATGGTATGCATCCTTTCCTGGATATCAGATATTAACATCCCTTGCTCTAGTAGAGAATTTAGGCACCCTTCCTTGATATCAGATATTCCTTTCATTAACATCAATATGTGTACAAACACTCTACAAATTTAGCTGGAGACATCACGAGGTGAAAAAGAAAGTCAACCTTGATACAATTGTCAAGTACATAATTATACTGTAAACGTGGTTATATTGACGAGTTGAAAAATTGACGATTTTTTGTTTGCGAAAATTAACGAGTGTTAATTTTGACAAAATATTTAATCAAGAGTTTCAAATCTCTGAATTCACAGGGACAAAGGCAGCATCAGAATCACTTAAATTTAATTTATACAAACTATTTACGTATTTAAGATTTGATTAAATAAATTGCCCTCTCGTAATTTGTTTTCAATATAAGTGGTCAATTGCCTGAGGTGACAAACTAAGTCAAGCACAGCGTGATAATTACGCCAAGTTACACATGCAGTATTTGATACACTAGTAGATTCCATGATTTTAAAAAATGTGATTATATATCACTTTGTTTTCATAACTAATAACAAAAGAAATTAACAGTGACTTTGATCTAGTGATAATAGGGGAAAGCCGTGAAAATTAAGTGGTAAAGTTGTACAATGGTCAATGTCTGTTGTGACGCTATATATATGATATGTGAAGTTTGACGAGTGTAAATTTTGACGAGAAAAGAAAAATCGTCAATATCGTCAAAATTAGCACATCGTCAAAATGTCCATGTTTACAGTACACTGTATTCACATTACAACTTTTGGTAAATTGAACGTGTGAATCCTCTTTGAATATCTGATATTCACATTAACTACTTCTGGTGTGAAGGGAGAGAGTGAAACCTGTTATGGATATCAGATATTAACACCTGTAGCTGTTATGAAGATATCACCTCTAATTCATATGACTACTTTTAAAGTCCGCAAAATCCCTCCTGAATCTCATCTATCCACATCCGAAGCAATCCTTATGTTTTTTGAGGCAAACCATTGTGTCTGGCAACGCAGGTTTTTATAATATAAACTTAAGATATATCTTTTGATAATCAAACAACATATTACATCCAGAATTAAATGATTATAATTGGTTCCTTTAAAAGTTACAGGTATGAATTTTTAGTCAAATTTATTTTATTAAATAAGATTATTTTCACGTCGAAATATAGAGCTGATCAAACCAAATTTTTATACAATGAACTTGCACCAAAAGCATATTGATGAGACTGAATTGATAAAATACATTTCATAAAATTTTAAAGGCTCTTTTTGCAAAGTATTGAATTTGATGATGAATTTTTTTCCTATGACATAAAAAAATTCATCAACTTGGTTAGAGATTATGTAATAATGAATATATTATATTGGAATTAAAAAAAAATCAGTATGAATAAAGTAGAGATTTGCATACAAATTCTTGGGTAGGGCAGGACCATAATGGATTAGCAAAGTTTTAAATAGGAATATATATATAAGGAAAACAATGTAAGTTGAAATATAAATAGCAGTAAAGCCATAAAGGTAATCAAAGAAATATGCAAGCATTCTTAGTGTAGATTCATGTTTGTTCAGATCATACCCTCTCCTCTATAAGGATAGGTTGGGACCACTTATGGGTTTTAACTTTTCAATAATATACTTATTACTGGGGTCCTAGCCACAGTGCTCAGGTGAGCAATGTTGTCCATGGGCCTCTTGTTTTATTTCAAAATCTCTAAGTTATCATGCAATTAAAAAGAAACTTGGTATAGAGAATATGCAAGTTTATATAACATTCAGTCAAATTATATCAATATAAATATTTTAAAAAGTAATTCAAGTTCAGAGGTAACTATTTTCTTCCCCTACATGAATTGTTTGAACAAAGCAGTAGAGCTACACTTTCTTCAGAGACTTCTTCCTCATTTTAGGACATTGATCTCCGTCTGAAATGGCCGAACGACATTTACTACAGCGACAAGATGAAGCTGGGAGGAGTGGTGGTTAAGTCGTCCTACGTTAATGGTGTTTGTGATACCATTATAGGTAAGTTACGCTTTCATATAGACTACATTCTACTGGGCTTATTGCAGAGATCAAAGAGATATTGTGTTCATTCTTCTCCAATAAATCACCAACAACATCAGCAAATTATTAATAATTTTAACAAATTATTAATAAATTTTAATTGGTTTTCCATTAAAAGGCTTATTAGGGGCATCTTAAGATTGTGAAGGAGATGGGTGGGAATAAATTTACGTTTGGATTATTTCACCTTATTAGTCTTATTTCTAGTGCCTGAGATACAAATAAACATTGAGATGCATTAAATTGTGACATTAATAGACACTTCTGAAAATGTCCAAATTTAGCTTCTGCATTTCCATTTTAAAATGTTTAAATATAGTAGAATAAAAATAAGTTCCTAGTTGTTAAAATTGATTGAGAATATACCCCTTAGACTCAAATTATTTTTGGACTCTTTTCTTATTTGCCAGCAAAATTAAGCTCTAAACTCTTGAGGTATATTATTACTTGTATTTCACAATAAGACTTTATACCTGTCTCTTGGTAACAACTTATTTTACAATAAGACTTAAGGACAGATGATACAAACAAAAAATGGATGCCTGGATTGGTATACATATTTTGGCCTAATTTTATTGCAAATGATGCAAATAGTAAATTTCTAGAATATAAAGATTTTGTTAACCTTCAGTGATGTTTAAAATTCTGCCTCTCTGAAACCATCCTTATTAATCTATACAAATATTTTTCACTTCAAATTCCATTTTTGTGCAAATTTGAATAAAATATTAAAAACAACGCGGTGAAAGTTATTCATTTTACTCATTTAAATATGACCCAAGTTGCTATTTTCAAATTCTTTGACAAAAGTTTGTTTGTATCATCTGTCCTTAAGTGGTTACCAAGAGACAAGTAAAAACAGGTGTACACAGATGTGTATGGAGGTGGTTAAGACAGGTTTACATAGGTGTGTATGGAGATGGATGAGACAGGTGTTCACAGATGTGTATTGAGGTGGTTGTGACAGGTGTACACAGATGTGTATGGATGTGGTTGTGACAGGTGTACATAGATGTTTATGGAGGAGGTTGTGACAGGTGTACACAGATATGTATGGATGTGGTTGTGACAGGTGTACACAGATGTGTATGGAGGTTGTTGTTGTGACAGGTGTACACAGATGTGTATGGATGTGGTTGTGACAGGTGTACACAGATGTGTATGGAGATGTTGTGACAGGTGTACACAGATGTGTATGGAGGTGGTAAAGACAGGTGTACACAGATGTGTATGGATGTGGTAAAGACAGGTGTACATAGATGTGTATGGAGGTGGTAAAGACAGGTGTACATAGATGTGTATGGATGTGGTTTAGACAGGTGTACACAGATGTGTATGGAGATGGATGTGACAGGTGTACACAGATGTGTATGGATGTGGTTTAGACAGGTTTACACAGATGTGTATGGAGGTTGTTGTGACAGGTGTACACAGATGTGTATGGAGATGGTTGTGTCAGGTGTACACAGATGTGTATTGAGGTGGTTGTGACAGGTGTACACAGATTTGTATGGATGTGGTAAAGACAGGTGTACACAGATGTGTATGGAGGTGGTAAAGACAGGTGTACACAGATGTGTATGGATGTGGTAAAGACAGGTGTACATAGATGTGTATGGATGTGGTTTAGACAGGTGTACACAGATGTGTATGGAGGTTGTTGTGACAGGTGTACACAGATATGTATGGATGTGGTTTAGACAGGTGTACACAGATGTGTATGGAGATGGATGTGACAGGTGTACACAGATGTGTATGGATGTGGTTTAGACAGGTTTACACAGATGTGTATGGAGATATTGTGACAGGTGTACACATATGTGTATGGATGTGGTAAAGACAGGTGTACATAGATGTGTATGGATGTGGTTTAGACAGGTGTACACAGATGTGTATGGAGATGGATGTGACAGGTGTACACAGATGTGTATGGATGTGGTTTAGACAGGTTTACACAGATGTGTATGGAGGTTGTTGTGACAGGTGTACACAGATGTGTATGGAGGTGGTAAAGACAGGTGTACACAGATATGTATGGATGTGGTTTAGACAGGTGTACACAGATGTGTATGGAGGTTGTTGAGGCCAATAGAGCAGTATACTTTGAAGTTGACATATGGTGCATTGTTAATTTATACATGTACAACATGAATGACGAATAGCTGATATAAGCATTGATGAGCTTAGAACAGCAAAAATTTTAAAACTATTTGTTGAAACCAGATCCACATACTCTAATCTCCTTTTATATAACCTTGACAAAGGCCTACATGATCAGAGGAATTAAGTGCAGTATGTCACCAGCCCCTGTGATTTGAATGGCTAGGGTAAATGCTTATAAAATGTGTTCTTATTCTTCAAATTATTATTAATGATTGTGTAAATCCTCACCACAGTAAAATAGCTCTTACTCTTAGGCTTTTTGTGGACTTTGTGGATATATAAATAAAAGTTGATTATCGTAGAAACAGAAACAATTAATGTAAAAACTTTAAAACAGCTACATGTTATTACCTGACAAACAGGTTGTAGATGATTAAAATAGGACTGATACCACAAAAAGGGTGTTGGAGATTAAATATGTATTGAATTCTTATTTTTAGATGTCATTGGCCACGAGAACAGCACTTCGCCATGCTGACAAATTGAATATTGCACGTTAGGGTGGTATGAGAATTTCTCTGCGTGGAAAGCTGCGATCATATCTTTTAGACTGGTGGCATCCATAAATAAAAATTCAATAGTTTTATTTACATTCTCTAATTTCCTCTCTTCATTAGTGTTAATTTAATCAATTTTTATTATGACTTGAGCGCCCTTGAGAACTGGTTTGCTTATTACACAATATGTCTACAATAAAGCAATTACATATTGTAGATTTATTTGCAACAAAACAACAACAGTAATTCAAAAAATTGCTTCCATTGCAGGATGTGGTTTTAATGTCAGTAATACAAATCCTACAATCTGTATTAACGATGTGATCAAGTTGTTTAACAAGGAACAGAGCACGTCTCTTCCATTGCTGTCTAAGGAGAAATTAATGGCGCGAACCATTAACATCATAGAGGAAATCGTTAACGAATTTCAGAGGAATGGACGGACGGAATTCTGCAAAAAGTATTATCAAAGATGGCTGCATGGGTAACTATAGTTATATACTCTTTACCATTCTTGTAGTTTAGAGGTCTGAAATGAGAGTTTGAGAAATAAAGTGAAAAACTTAAATAATATGTAACATTCAAACAGGTTTGATAAATTTATTCTCCCATCAGTTAGGTACCATATTAATCATTTCTGCTATTTCAAAACTGGGTGTTAAATTTAACATAGGAAAGACATGAAGAAAAATGCCCATTTTTAGTCATATATAAATTTGATGTGTTATTGCAAAAAATGGGTTCTAAGGATATAGCCACTATAAATTTTTCTCCTAAATCAAAAACAATAATTTACCTGAATCATATTAAAAGATGTTGATTTACCAAGTTTATGGGAGAAATTTATCATATATACTGGATAGGGCTTAGCAAATCATACCATTGACTTTATTCAAAATATCTTTTTAGGTCACCTGAGTAAACTCAGGTGACCTATTGCTATCTGTTTTCGTCCGTCGTCGTGCGTTAACATTTGAAGATTTTTAGCTTCTTCTCTGAAACCACCGAACCAATTTCAACCAAATTTGGTATATAACATCTATGGGTGAAGGGGAACAAAAATTGTGAATTTCATGGTCCCCGCCCCCTGGGGCCTGGGGGGTGGGGCAAAAACCACTAAAATTAGTGCAATCTTTAAAAATCTTCTTCTTTACTCCGGGACATCAAGCAGTCAAACTGTTGGTATGATTGTAATCAGCATTGAGTCCTCTACCAAAATTTTGAAATTCATGGCCCCAGGGTCAAGGGTTCTAGTGCTAGGGCAGGGCTAAACAGGTTTTATAGTGAAAATGCATTATTACTTTGAAAATCTTCTTCTCTGCTCCTGGGCATTAAATAAGCTAACTAAGTACATAGTTATGTTGAATAAGATTACCTCTTCCAAAATTGTGAATTTCTTGGCCCCAGGGTCAGGGGTTCTGGTGTTAGGGCGGAGCTCTATTGATTATATAGTGAAAATGCATAAATTCTTTAAAAATCTTCTTCTCTGCGCTTGGATATTTAACCACAGAACTATGTACATAGTTATGATAAGGAAGGATGCTTCTTCCCAATTTGTGAATTTCATGGCCCCTGGGTCAGGGGTTCTGGTATTAGGGCAGGGCTCTATTGGTTATATAGTGAAAATGCTTTAATTCTTTGAAAATCTTCTTCTCTGCTCCTGGGTATAAAACAAACAAATTAAGTACATAGTTATTATGACCGAGAATGCTTCTTCTAAAATTGTGAATTTCATAGCCCATGGAAGAGGGGTTTGTGTGTTAGGGCGGGGCTCTTTAATTGTTTATATAGTGAAAATGCATTAATTCTTTAAAAAATCTTCTCTGCTTCTGGGTATGAAATAGACTATCCAAGTACATGGTTATATTGAATAAGTCAGCCTCTTCCAAAATTATGAATTTCATGGCCCCAGGGTCAGGGGTTCTGGTGTTAGGGCGGGGCTCTGTTGATTATATACTAGTGAAAATGCATAAATTCTTTAAAAATCTTCTCCTATGCTCCTCAGGGTATAAAACCACTGAATTATGTACATAGTTATGATGAGGAAGGATGCTTTTTCCCAATTTGTGAATTTCATGACCCCTGGGTCAGGGGCTCTGGTGTTAGGGTGGGGCTCTATAATGATTATATTGTGAAAACGCATGAATTCTTTGGAAATCTTTACCTTTGCTTCTTGGTATAATGCCAATGATCAAAGTGTTATTGCTGATGAAGAAAGATGCCTCTTCGAAAAATGGTCAATTTCAGGGCCCCTGCATTAGGGGTACTGTGAGAGGGGCGGTTTACATAGTCTGAAAATAAAGTAATACTTTGAAATCCATTCTTTGATATTAATCACCCATTTCTGAAGAAATGAAATTTATAAAATTTATAAAATTTTAAAATATGTGGCCTCAGGGTCAGTGGTTCCTTTGGGTTGGTGTGCACAACTGGTGGTTATAAAGTGGAAATGCATTTTCTCTCTGTTACTCTGATCTCCCTTTGGGTATTAAGTAACCAAATTAAGCATGCTAAATGTATAGTTATCATAAACAATGGTGCCTCTTTCAAAATTGTGAATTTCAATGCATTTGGTTTAAAATAGTCAAACCAAAGTCAGTTGTTGGAAAGTTGTTACATGTTACTCAGGGGACCTATAAGGCCCGTGGGCCTCTTGTTAGTGAAAAAAATCTTAATTGATTATAAAAATTCTGCACATAAAATTTCTGAAACAATGAAAAGAATTGTCTAATATGGTAAGATTTAGAAATACATATATCTCAATTTTAGCTTGGTGTAAGTGTTTTTAGTTAAACTAATATAGATAATTTAAAAAAAAGATATTGGTAGTAGAAATAGTTGTAAGATTGGTCTGGGTGAATAAGTTGATTTAATGATTATTCTCATTATTAAACTCTGGTAAGACAATTCATTGCATTGTTAGGAATAAATTTTATGGAAAGTTATCTCCCTTTTCAGAGAGATATAACACCTTAAGGTGCTTGCAGTTAATGTACAAAATTTCATAAGGTGTGAACTGTGAAAATATCGTGAATCAGATTTGTTGTATAATATTTTTGTGTGAAGAGTTGCATAAGATGTGAACTGTGAAAATATGTGAATCAGATTTGTTGTATAATATTTTAGTGTGAAGATGCAGTATCTTTCATCTAAAACCTATAATATCAAATAAAATGCCAGCAAAGTGCAATACACCTACGTTTTTGTGACTAATGAACTTTTGCATAAATCCTGTGGGAAATTTTATATTCAGTGTATTTGATTTCAGCTATAAATCTACTGGCACAAAGTTTGTGAAAGTCTGTTTATGTCTGTGTAAAAGTTTTACCCCCCCCCCCTCTTGAGCCCCCCTTTTTCTCATATCTGTTCAATGTCGATTTCATTATACAATGCACCTTACTACCTATTCCATTTTTTTAAAAAATATTTTGTTGCTATAATGACATACATGTTCATTGTTTATCATTTTACAAATTTTAAAATATAGTTTTAGCTGTTATCTGCTCCAAACTTGATTCAGAGGAGGTTATGGCATACCAAGTTAAAAAAATCACACAGGTCCTTTGATTACCAGGACTCTAAAAATAAACAGGAAAAAAGAAACTAAAATTAAAAACTACTGTGCATGTGTCCTTACTTAAGCACTCAGTATGTCTTCATTGTGATTCAAGGTTATATCATTAATATCAGGGCCTCTTGGTAATGAATTAGTCTTGATACACATGTTTTGCATGAAAATCTTTCAATATGCCTTTTTTGTGTTAAAATATAAGCACCACAAAAATTAAAAAAAAGTACTTTGTGGTCCTAAGTTTAGAAAATGTTAAGAAATCTACAATTTGTTGCCATACTGTTAAAGTCTGTTATGTTTTCTTGTAGTGGCCATAAGGTGCAGCTAGAAACAGAGGGGGACAAAGTCTTTACCGTTCAGGGAGTGGACGAGTATGGCTACCTTAAAGTAACATCAAACGATGGACAGATGATCAGTGTTCAGCCAGACGGGAACAGCTACGACATGATGAGGAACCTGATCCATATGAAAACTCACTAAACTATGGTGAAAATCAGTATCTCAAAACTGATATCTCAATTGGCATGGATTTATCAAATTGATTTGAAAGTCCCAACCTCTTTTTCTTTACACATTTTAACCTGGATATCTTGAATACTCGGATATCTCAAAGATTTTTCCGTGGTCTCACTGAGTTTTCTAAATGAGGTTCCCTCAAACTTAGGGATGTTTGTCAATTTTCTTATCAGGAAAGTTGTTTTTATGATATCAAATTTAAAGAGAAAGGGTTCTTTCAGTGGTTAGACCCCTTAGTTGTCTCATTTTCATCCTCTTTAGCTCTTGAATAACAACTGGATAATATGCAACTTTTTCTTGATATAAAGAAAGGTTTACTGGGGTTAAGCTCAAAAATGGAAAGTCAGAATATGCAGCTTAATGGTAAGACTTTAAAATATTGCTGGATAAAAATACCATAGAAAATATTTATCATATTAAATGTATTGCATAATACATGTACATTATTTCTGATATTTTCAGTTTCTTTATAATGATTGAATTATTAATATTACATGTCACAACACTCATAGAGCTATGCATATGGATTTACAAACAAGCATCTTTGAAAGTTGGATTGAAAAAATAGCAAAATTCATAATCCATGCATGTTGTGATATGATATTCCAACATTTTCAAGTAGAAAGTCTGACCACCATCATATTCATGTAACACACAGTGTCATGGTCATAGTATCATAGTATTCATCAATCATTACCTACAGTTATGCAATAGAATCTCCTAGTTCCATATTCACCTTTGTGATTGTGCAAAGTGATTCACAGACAAGTAGAATTAATTATGTCTAGCAGGAGTTTTGGATTGTTTGCAGCAATTTTGTTATTTCTAATACCCCCGGTACATATGTATTTGTGTTTCTTACATATACCTTTATACTCTAATTTTCGATTGTTTTAAAATAGTAATTCAAAGAATAAAAGAGTGGATTAATGTGTAGCAGGGTTTAAGGATGTTTTACAGGGAACTTTGTTCAGTATTTGATTTTGATATATACCTTTGTATACATGTAGTTATTGTTAATGGTAGTCACTCAGGTGACTTTTGTTATCTGTTTTCATTTGTCCTCTTGTTGCATTAAGCATCACATGCAATTTTTGATTTGAATTTCCAAAGACTTAAGGACATATGCAACACAGATCCTGACCTACTGATAAATTTTCAAGATTTTCTTAATTTAAGTTTATAGTGTCATCGGATGTTCATAGACAAAAATCAGCATGCATTGCCAGGGGTTTTTGAAAAATATCAATTGATGAACATTCTTGGGGGAATCAATGAAAATATATAAAATTTTGAAAGTACTAAACAATATATTCTACACGTTTCTTTTAACCAACATTGTTTTAGAAGAAGTGTACAAAACCATATATAGACATTAAAATACAGACACAGTTCCTACAAGAACTGTAACTCTTCGAAAAAGACAAAAAATTCAAACTACGTTGCATATGTCCTTAAAGCATAACTGGTTATAGATGAATTTCAGTATATATTGAGCACCAATACCTTCTTTCCAAAAACTAAATGAAAATGAAGAAATGGAGTTAATATATGAATTTATTAACTTAATCTAAATTATCCTTCGTACTGATTACAGGTAATATTCCACCAGGCAGTATATAGCTATAGGGGGAATAAAAGGATATGTGTCTTAAACAAGCCCTGCTTGATATTCAGGTGATCTTTAAGGTCCATGGGCCTCTGTTCAATGTCGTGCCATATTTGTGTTTTTGAAGTGCTATTCACTTAGGAAGAATAAAGAATGTGAAAAAATGCTTCTTTTTTATTGCATTAATATAGGAAAAATTTGTATGATAATACTGATAACTAGAGCAAAGCTCGTTGCAAAGCAACGAGTAGGTCTTCCGTCCTGTTTGACCGGAAGTAACTTTCATTTTTTAAAAAAATGACTAAATACAACCAAAAACTGTTTAAATCCTCCAAATCAGTGTTAACTAATGCAAAAATAAGCCCTTTCCCTACTTCTGGTTTGACCGGAAGTGACGACGACGGACGTAAAATTGAATTTTATGCTCCCAGTGACAGATGTTACCCAAAAACTTGTCAAGAACGGCAAAAATACGCGTTTCCCGACTACTTCCGGTTTGGCCGGAAGTGACGACGCCGGACGTATTTTGATGACTTGAATAGATTAAGCTTGACATTTTGAACAACTTCGCTTCTTTAACGTATTACAAATTCTCACTACTTTTTGAGATATAAAGGAAAAACTTTCGGCCCCTCCAGACCCTTAATTTTAGGGGCCAGCCCTTTTTCCGACATATCATTTGAAAGATCTTCTAATTCTGCACAAATTATGTTCTATATATTTTAACAAAATATTTTTAGTTTAAAAGATAAAAAGCAAAATATGAGTAATTTTTGGTTCTTTGAAGCGTTCTAATTTTTGACCCCTATATAGCGCCATTTTAAATAGAGAAATCGAAAAACAAAAACCGATGTGCACAACTTCAATCCCTCTATTATCTAAAATCAGAAGAATTTCTGCTCCAGCTTTAGCCGTCTCTGAGCCTTTGTCTGGAAACGAAAGCCTATAAATTTTCGTTTAAAGGGAAATAACTCAAAACCGGAAGTGACTTTTTGAAATTTTAGTCAGCATTTTGATAGAGTTTATTAACTTCTATTACCTCTGAAAATTTAAGCGAAATCCGTAGAGATATGAGTGAGATATGAGGCCTCAAAGTTGCGGTCTAGGAAGTAGAAGAAAAAAAAAGAATAATAATCTTTACCAACAGAATCAGTAGAAGGTCTTCCGTTGGAAACGGAAGACCTTAATAATAATTTTTAAAATTCAGTTCAGTTCATCCCTTATTATCAGTCAAAATATTCTTTAAAAGTTTTATAGATCTTAACAATACCATTGGTTAGAATCTATACCTCGATATATGTTCAGTGATATGATTTTTTGCAAAAGAACATTTTCTCTTAAGTTAAAACAAAAAATCATTATATTTTCAAATTGGAAATGAATAATTCATACCATTCATATGAATAAGTGAGTGGTAATGCTTTCAAAGAGGAAGTTAGATGAGAAGTAACAAATATGTGATTGTAATGTAATTAAAACGTTTTAATTGGAAAAATAGATCTATCCTGTTAATATCAAATTTAAAAATGTATTAATTTCAAATAAGACTATATTCATTTGGTTTTTACAAACTTTACAAATTAGATGTTATCTATTTTGATAGACTAAATTCTGAGTTATCTCAATGATATTTAAAAAAATATATTTAGTACTAAATTAATAAAGATAGGTATAGCCAGCATGGCGAAGTTGTTAGAGCGTCTGCTCTGAGTCGCAAAGTAAGGAGTTGATCCTTACGTTGCGGGTTCAAATCCCACTGTGGGACATGAAGACAGGTGTATCGGATGAGACCGTATAAACCGAGGCCCTGTGTCGCAGTAGGTGCTGGCACGAAAAAGATCCGCCATTGCTCAACGGCCGTTAAGTGCCGAGTATAGGACAAAATTTGCAGCTCTACACCGGCAAGTGGTGGCATCTCCATATGAGTGAATTCTCGAGAGTGACATTAAACCATAAACACACAAACAAAATTTGGGTAACCCTTATTAGGTCACCTGAGTAACTTAGGTGACCTATTGCTATCCGTTTTCATCCGGCGTAGTCTGGCGTGTGTTAACATTTGAACATTTTCAGCTTCTTCTCTGAAACCACTGAACCAATTTTAATCAAATTTGGTATGCGGCATCTATGGGTGAAGGGGAACAAATTTTGAATTTTATGGTCCCCGCCCCCCTGGGGCCTGAGGGGTGGGGCTAAAACTATTAATATTATTGCAATCTTAAAAAATCTTCTTTACTCCTGGACATCAAGCAGGCAAACTGTTGGCATGAATGTAATGAGCTTTGATTCCTCTACCAAAATTGTGAATTTCATGGCCCCAGGGTCAGGGGCTCTAGTGCTAGGGTGGGGCTATATAGATTATATAGTGAAAATGCATTATTTCTTTGAAAATCTTCTTCTATGCTCCTGGGTATTAAATAAACTAACTAAGTACATAGTTATGATGAGCATGAGTGCCTCTTCCAAAATTGTGAATTTTATGGCCCCAGGGTCAGGGGTTCTGGTGTTAGGGTGGGGCTCTATTGATTATATAGTGAAAATGCATTATTTCTTTGAAAATCTTCTTCTCTGCTCCTGGGTATTAAATAAACTAACTAAGTACATAGTTATGATGAGCAAGAGTGCCTCTACCAAAATTGTGAATTTTATGGCCCCAGGGTCAGGGGTTCTGGTGTTAGGGTGGGGCTCTATTGATTACATAGTGAAAATTCATTAATTCTTTGAAATTTTTTTCCTCTGCTCCTGGGTATTAAATAAACTAACTAACTACATAGTTATGATGAGCAAGAGTGCCTCTTCCAAAATTGTGAATTTTATGGCCCCAGGGTCAGGGGTTCTGGTGTTAGGGCGGGGCTGTATTGATTATATAGTGAAAAATCATTATTCTTTGAAAATCTTCTCTGCTTCTGGGTATCAAATAAACTAACTAGCTACATAGTTATAATGAGCAAGAATGCCTCTTCCAAAATTTTGAATTTTATGGCCCCAGGGTCAGGTTGTCTGGTGTTAGGGCGGGGATCTATTAATTATTTTGTGAAAATACATTAGTTCTTTGAAAATCTTTTCCTTTGCTCCTGGATGTTTTGCCAATGATCCAAGTATATATATTTATGATGAAGAAAGGCTCATCTAGCAAAATGGTTATTTTTTATCCCCCGCCCCCTGGGTCAAGGGGAGGGAGTTAAACAGTCTGAAAATAAATTACTGCTTTGAAATCTGCTCTTTAGTATTAATCAACCATTTATGATAAAATTTGCAAAATTTTGAAATATGTGGCCCTAAGGTCAGTGGTTCCTTCAGGGTGAGGTGCACCACTGGTTATAAAGTGGAAGTACATTTTCTCTTTGTTACTCTGATCTACCTCTTAGTATTAAGTAATTAGAGTAAGCATGCTAAGTTTATAATTATGATAAGCAATGGTGCCTCTTTCAAAATTGTGAATTACATGATCTCTGGTTTAAAACACGAACCAAATTTAATTGTTTTA